GTTCTGTATACTCCCTTGGCTATAATCACTAAGCTCTTTTAAGAGCTTGTTCCTGTTTTGCTCTCTGAAGGAAGAGAGGTTCGGTCTGCAGTACATATGGTGTCGAGTGGAGTGCTTGGAGCCCTCAGAAAGCACTAGGAGCATCCATCAACGGAGGTACCCAGCCGGGGCGCCAGGTGATCCGTTAAAATTAAAACTGTAATCGAAAACAGAGAGACTAGCTATATATTTTTTTATTTTATTATTATTTATTTTATTTTATTTTTAATTGGTTTGTTTACATACATATAGAGATTACCCTCTTTATTTTGTTGAAGGCCATAGGAATGTTCCGGACGGAAGGACTGAAACCTTCTTATCCACAAATGTATCGCATATATCAGGCTCCTGTGAATAACGGAACATAAGATACACAGGATTTTATAACGAACACATATGCAGCGAGAATATTTCTGTATTTGTTTTTGCCAGTTGCAGATTGAATATTTTCCCAGAGGTATTAGTCTGCAGCACTATTAAAATCCAGAATATCCAGTCATCCATAAATTATGATATAATACGTATTACAAATTGAGTTGCATCCAAAACAAAATGAGTCTCACCACAGTCCAATAGAAAATATGTCAAAATGATCAATGTGTGTTTAAAATTTCAATAATAGCAAAAAGAAGCAATTATGGCTACTGGTTACCTCTCTGATAGGGAAATATTTGATTGCTTGTTCTGGCAAAGAGGGGGCAGACCTTGAAACATCAACATTTTTCTTACATTATTGAGGTTATTTTGCTTAAAATGTTTGTTTTGGAAAAATCAACATAAACAAGGCTACAATAGAAGGATGTGCTGAGTTTGTTGCAGTTAATCTTTCTTCTTAAAAACAGTTTAATAAGGCTTTTCAGTTTGATTAAGGGCTTTTCAGTAGCACCGAGGGAGGTTTTGGTGATGGTCAATTTGGCGTGGAGCAATATTGATAGATGATTAATAAAGGGGGGAGGATGAAGACTTGATTGAAATATGTGACTTTTTTTCTTTTAGCTGCAAGAACATTTTACTGCTAACGATAGACACGTTGCAGAGAATTGATAAGTGAATTGCATTTTGGTCAAAAAGTGCTGATTTCGAACAAATCTTGTCCATACTCACAGTTTGACATTTTTACCTAAATTTAGCAACTTTGGTTTTCAATTCTCTACAACCCAGTATTTAGTGAATAAACTCCAAACAGGATAACCATAGCCCAAATCCGTAAATGTATTCTATATTCACTCTGAATTGTGATATAAACTCAATATGTAACTTTAGTCTAAACTCAATACTCAGGCCACATTTCTAATCCTAATCCTAATTCTATACAGTGACTCTAAATCTCATAACTTCTAACCCTGCCCTAAACATTCCCCCAACCCTAGTTTCAATTCTTATATTCAATCAATAACCTCTTAGCCAAATACATAAAGCTATCCCCAAACCCTAATCCAAAAAGGTGACTCTAAATCTCATAACGTCTAACCCTGCCCTAAACATTCCCCCAACCCTACTTTTAATTCTTATATCCAATGTTTCAATTCTTATATCTAATCAGTAACCTCTTAGCCAAATACGTAAAGCTATTCCCAAACCCTAATCCAAAACAGTAACTCTAACTCTCATAACTTCTAACCCTGCCCTAAACATTCCCCCCTCGTTACTCTCCACCTAATCAGTTATTTAAATCGAGTCAATTGTTCTCTGCAATATCAATAATGTATTAGTTTCATGTATCAATACAAAACTTGCACCAGAACACCCCTTTCCCATTCAATAAATATTTAACTCTGTGAAACATGAGATTTGCCGTAGCGTTCGCCATTGCCTGATGTACCACAACCAGGACAGTATTAACCCTTTAAGTGAACTTTAATATTTTCCATCACTCAATCCAAGGCTTACAGACGCATTAGAGCAATACAAAGCGATAACATACATTTGCTGACACAATGATTAGGCCATGACCTTTGACAGTAGAACTTGCCTGAAAAGAATCTTGTTTAAAACATATTTTTTTGAAATGATGCATTTGTTGTTGGCGCGATATTCAGTGGTACGCAAGTAAAGTGTACGAGGCATATCGCTGTCGTTCTCTGCAGCAATCCCAGATTCTCCCTCCGAAGTTAACCTCTACATCAGCTCTTCCTGTGTTTCCCTTTCTCACTTAGCAGCAGTCACGAGCGAGACATATCATGCATTCTGAGACGTGGACAGGTTGCCCTTATAGGAGCGGATTTTATATTCCAGTCAGGCAGCCGATAACTTTCTGTAGCAGAGAACTAAGCAAATGAAGTAGGTGAGTCATATCAGGGGTGGTAATTAATCAAATTCTCGTCTGCTGTCTCCCAAGCTTTGTTGAAGTGAATGTGCTCTGAAGCCAAGACTGCAAAAAATAAAAGAGAGCGCACTTTGAATGTGGGCAGCTTTATTTGTAAAGGCAAAACCCATCATTTATGTTTAACAAGACAAGTAACCATTGCAATTCCCAAATGAACGAGATATGGCTACGATTGCAATATCCAGCATATCTCCTGGACATATTTAGCTTCACCACGCTGTAGGGAGGTGCGTGAAGAGTGCTGCCCTACAGAATGTCAAATGTTGATATTGCACAATGAAAATCAATTACTAAATCATTGATTGCAAAGGGCCTGCCTTGATTATTTAATTGGTTTCAGGTTTTACATTGCAGAGTTAAAAGGACAGGATTTAGATGTAGTGGTCTAGGTTAGTGCTCCTCAATAGTGATGTCCCGAACGGTTCACCGAACGGTTCGCGAACGGTTCGCCACAAACGGTTCGCCACAGACTCATCATTGAGTAAACTTTGACCCTGTACCTCACAGTCAGCAGACACATTCCAGCCAATCAGCAGCAGACCCTCCCTCCCAGACCCTCCTCCACCATCCATTGTGAAGCTGCATTCTTAGTGAGCTGTCCAGGAGGTGGGAGGGTCTGGGAGGGAGGGTCTGCTGCTGATTGGCTGGAATGTGTCTGCTGACTGTGAGGTACAGGGTCAAAGTTTACTCAATGATGAGTCCGTGGCGAACCGTTGGGCGAACAGTTCGGGACATCACTACTCCTCAACCCTTTCCAAGGCCCTCTCTCAAGGCACACCCAACAGTCCAGGATTTAGGGATAACCCAGGTGTGTGTCTAAGGTGTTAAGAAAAAGAAAAAAAGACACCTTATTGTTTTTTATTTTTTTTGATAATTTTCTTGTTAGTATTGTATGCAGTACTGGAGACCGTATCTCCAGAAGGATATTGATACCTTAGAGAGGGTTCAGAGAAGGGCTACTAAACTGGTTCATGGATTGCAGGATAAAACTTACCAGGAAAGGTTAAAGGATCTTAACATGTATAGCTTGGAGGAAAGACGAGACAGGGGGGATATGATAGAAACATTTAAATACATAAAGGGAATCAACACAGTAAAGGAGGAGACTATATTTAAAAGAAGAAAAACTACCACAACAAGAGGACATAGTCTTAAATTAGAGGGACAAAGGTTTAAAAATAATATCAGGAAGTATTACTTTACTGAGAGGGTAGTGGATGCATGGAATAGCCTTCCAGCTGAAGTGGTAGAGGTTAACACAGTAAAGGAGTTTAAGCATGCGTGGGATAGGCATAAGGCTATCCTAACTATAAGATAAGGCCAGGGACTAATAAAAGTATTTAGAAAATTGGGCAGACTAGATGGGCCGAATGGTTCTTATCTGCCTTCACATTCTATGTTTCTGTGTGCCAGCCTTTAGCATGAAAAAAGTATATGTCTAGGAAAACATTGCTGATCTGGTAACTTTATACCTAGAACTTGCGGTCTATTCTGAAAATGCTATATGTCTGTGTTACAGTATCTAATTACTCTGTCGAATGGATTCCTGCAGGGTTTTACCTTCCAGGTTCCTCCAGGGAAAAAGGGTGTGAAACTTAGTCCTTCATTTTATGCGCATAGATTAAACTGGAACTAAATTATGTATATAAAATAAAAGTATTACGTTAGATGTGCAGCTGAGCACATATCTTCTCCTGTTTGAAATGTTACATGAAATGTCATTGTGCCCGGCTCACGACTCTTTCAGACCATCGTTCTATTTCTGGCTATTATCTCGGAAGGTCGTGACCTCTAATTAGCGAGTACCCACTACTAGTTCAACAAATGAGCTCTTATTTGGATACCGAACAAAGAACACTGGAAAGGAAATGAACTCACCAATATCTTGCTCATCAAAAGCAGAAGATAGAAGACATCGAGGCACGGTGTGTTTATTTCATCGAGAACACAATAACAATTAAAATACGGGGGGTGGGAGGGGAATAGATACATATTTTAAGAATACCGCATGATGATAGATCTTTATATGAAGGTCGCGCTAACAAGTGTTATAAGGGTATTTTACATGTTTGCACAGAAAAAGGTTAATTGTACAGCCAAGGTATTATTACAATTTATAAAATGGTGAGTAGTATATAATTTCAAAAACAATATAAATATATAAAAATAATATATAGATACACAGAATGAAATTATTTATGCATATGAAAGGAAGTAATGAACTGAATGCCCCAACGCCTTATTTCGGCAGTGATTTTTGGAATGGTCAATGATCTAAGTTAATCAGGTATAGCGGAGTCTTGATTCTCAGCAGGGGTAGTGGGTTTGTCACGGGTGCAAGGACTAGCGGGAGTGCAAGGGAGAGATAATTCATCTTTTAGTACCAAAGCATGTGACATATTATAAAGATACATAAGTAACGTTATTTAAATGAAAAACATATAATTAGATTACCCCCTTGCTGTTAAAGTGGAACTGGTCTTGATTCTCCGCAGGGGTAGTGGGTTTGTCAGGGGTGCAAGGACTAGCGGGAGTGCAAGGGAGAGATAATTCATCTCTTAGTACCGAAGCATGTGACATATTATAAAGATACATAAGTAACGTTATTTAAATGAAAAACATATAATTAGATTACCCCCTTGCTGTTAAAGTGGAACTGGCTTACTAACTATTGCCAGAGTTCCATACACCTAATAACAAAAAGGCCAAATGCAGCCACACATAGACCCAGGCTGAATGGTAGCCTAACTAAAATTGTACAAACATATGATTATTGCGAATATACTGTAACCTGGTCGAATGATGGCCAAAAGAAAAATATTTAAACATTATTGCAAATACACTGTGAATGGCCGAAAAAAAAGGGCTGAACGAAAATTGTTTAAAATATGATTACTTATTCCATGTGTCCCTCAATGGAATGTATGAAAAGATGGCTTACATGAGCTCAAATAGACATCACAAATTGATAGAGGCCTGGGAACAATGGAAAGCGAGGTTTGAGCAACCTCATTGACTTCTAACGTACCATACCCTCTATATTTTAAAATAAATTTTAAAAAAATTTAAAAAAGGAAAGAATATATATATTTCTACACCCTATCCTGGCAAATCACAGGCGGCTTGGTACTTCTCAGTTCCACAACAAAAGTATCTGAGTCTCTAACACTCCCCAATCTCTCATCGAAAAGGGGGGCAAAGATCATACAGGCAAGAATCAGCTAGCTTCAGATTAGACAGGCTAAAGGATCTCGACCCCCTGCGGTAGAACAGTGTCTTGCCCCTTATATCTCTCTTCCTTCTCTTTCTCCTATTCCCACTTTGCTATCTTTCGACTCTTCGTTCTCATTTTCTCACCCTCTTATCTTCAGGTGCTTCATCGAAAAGGTGGATGTGTTTCTATTACAGAACGCTAACGTATGGCAAAGGGCTATGGGGTAGCGTAATCCTAGATACAAAGAGTACATTGTAACCCTACTTGTTATTTGACATGTATCTGTCATTAGACAGACTTCTACTACAGATTGCTAGTGTTGCATATGTGCTACCTCTATAAATGTCTCAATACATCAAGACTTGTATCGGTACACAGGGTGGACGGAAATTATCATTGTCTATATACCCTAATAGGTCATAGTTACATCGTACACAACTAATAAAAGAAAAAATGAATTAAATGACAGCTGAACGAAATGACAGTGAAATACATGTAATATCCGAACAAAGGCTAAATGAAAGCCCTTAATACCTTAACGTCTCGTAGAAGCTCCGAATATGAGTAACTGTTCAGGGGAATGGGGTGTTGTTGGCCTAAAAGCCCAGCTGACCATGGATTGTGATTTGAACGGGGCATGATCTTTTAGTAGCAAGCTGGGTATTGTTTAAGTAGGATGAACGGATCCAAATATAGTTTTCCCGCTCATTGTCCAAAAGTCGGAACCGGATGTGCCTAGGTAACCTTGGCAACGAGTGAAACAAACGACAAAAGTCCAGGTAAGGGGATTGACTGAGTTTAAAAAGGCTGGGTAACCACTCCCACAACTACAGGCCACAGCTGTGACATACATATATATATATATATATATATATATAATTTCAGTGTAAGTATTATGTTTTATATATATATATATATTCATTTTAAAATATACTATATAAATAAATATAAATCCCTATAAACAAAAGCCTAGCTCGTCTGAGCACTAACTAACATCAGACTCCCTCTCTCTCAGGGTTTAAACTAGAACAAAATAATATTTGTGTTCACCAACCTAGTGCCTTTGTCAGATCTCTGCACTCCACACTCGGTTAGCATGTGGCTTCCATTCCTTCTAGAAATAAACAAATTTCTCTCTTTTTTCTGCACTCCCAGTGCTCCAAGCCAGCCTTGACTGCTTTCCTTTTGCACTCCCAGTGCTCAGTCTCCTTGACTCTCTCACTGGAGAGAACAGCCTCTCTCCTACCTGCTTCCAGGGAGGAAGCCAGCAATCCCCCTTTACCTGCCTAGCAGGGAGGGGTTTATTCCCACTGCTACAGCTGATTATCTGCAGCTGAGCAGTGAGTTGGAGACAGTTCCAAAAAACTCTTGCCTGCACCTGGTTTCTCCCAGTTGTGTATAAACTGAGGAGTGGAGCATTGGCCCACCCTGCTCTCCAAATGCTCCACCCCAGGGGCCCATAACTAAACCTAGCGTTGTGTTGCACACCACACATACAACATGTACTTCCCCTGGAGTTAAATGTTAAAGGCCTCTCTACCTTCACGTTATCACATTACATTATTTGAGAAATTATATATTGGAGGATTTGCTTGAAGCCACGCAATGCACAGGCCTCCCCTTCCTCTGGGCTGAGACTTCCTGGTTCAGTACAGAACTATCTACTTTCAGTTCAAAGGTCATTAACACAATCAACACAAACTACCCAAACTCCAAACAAGCTGGTCTTGGCCTTGTGCGGCCTATGCAAGTATTCATTTTACCTCACTCTAGTAAAAAACAGCCGCCTCCCTCACAGGGCACTGCCACGTCCAGCCCACCCGCAGCTTTTACTGTTGCTGTTTGCACGTACAGGGAGCGCAGAATTATTAGGCAAATGAGTATTTTGACCACATCATCCTCTTTATGCATGTTGTCTTACTCCAAGCTGTATAGGCTCGAAAGCCTACTACCAATTAAGCATATTAGGTGATGTGCATCTCTGTAATGATAAGGGGTGTGGTCTAATGACATCAACACCCTATATCAGGTGTGCATAATTATTAGGCAACTTCCTTTCCTTTGGCAAAATGGGTCAAAAGAAGGACTTGACAGGCTCAGAAAAGTCAAAAATAGTGAGATATCTTGCAGAGGGATGCAGCACTCTTAAAATTGCAAAGCTTCTGAAGCGTGATCATCGAACAATCAAGCGTTTCATTCAAAATAGTCAACAGGGTCACAAGAAGCGTGTGGAAAAACCAAGGCGCAAAATAACTGCCCATGAACTGAGAAAAGTCAAGCGTGCAGCTGCCACGATGCCACTTGCCACCAGTTTGGCCATATTTCAACATCACTGGAGTGCCCAAAAGCACAAGGTGTGCAATACTCAGAGACATGGCCAAGGTAAGAAAGGCTGAAAGACGACCACCACTGAACAAGACACACAAGCTGAAACGTCAAGACTGGGCCAAGAAATATCTCAAGACTGATTTTTCTAAGGTTTTATGGACTGATGAAATGAGAGTGAGTCTTGATGGGCCAGATGGATGGGCCCGTGGCTGGATTGGTAAAGGGCAGAGAGCTCCAGTCCGACTCAGATGCCAGCAAGGTGGAAGTGGAGTACTGGTTTGGGCTGGTATCATCAAAGATGAGCTTGTGGGGCCTTTTCGGGTTGAGGATGGAGTCAAGCTCAACTCCCAGTCCTACTGCCAGGTCCTGGAAGACACCTTCTTCAAGCAGTGGTACAGGAAGAAGTCTGCATCCTTCAAGAAAACATGATTTTCATGCAGGACAATGCTCCATCACACGCGTCCAAGTACTCCACAGCGTGGCTGGCAAGAAAGGGTATAAAAGAAGAAAATCTAATGACATGGCCTCCTTGTTCACCTGATCTGAACCCCATTGAGAACCTGTGGTCCATCATCAAATGTGAGATTTACAAGGAGGGAAAAACAGTACACCTCTCTGAACAGTGTCTGGGAGGCTGTGGTTGCTGCTGCACGCAATGTTGATGGTGAACAGATCAAAACACTGACAGAATCCATGGATGGCAGGCTTTTGAGTGTCCTTGCAAAGAAAGGTGGCTATATTGGTCACTGATTTGTTTTTGTTTTGTTTTTGAATGTCAGAAATGTATAATTGTGAATGTTGAGATGTTATATTGGTTTCACTGGTAACAATAAATAATTGAAATGGGTATATATTTGTTTTTTGTTAAGTTGCCTAATAATTATGCACAGTAATAGTCACCTGCACACACAGATATCCCCCTAACATAGCTATAACTACAAACAAACTAAAAACTACTTCCAAAAATATTCAGCTTTGATATTAATAAGTTTTTTGGGTTCATTGAGAACATGGTTGTTGTTCAATAATAAAATTAATCCTCAAAAATACAACTTGCCTAATAATTCTGCACTCCCTGTATTTACAACAAAACCGTAAGTTTGTTCATTCGGCCTGTGTTGGGCCGCGCTATTACTGACATTCAACACATATTTACCCCACATTCAGCCTTTCACTAACTAGGGTGGCATTCGCAGTTCAGTCCATATTCGGCTCTCATGCAAATTTTGTCTATTCAATCATACATAGCATCCAGGGGCAGAACTACCACAGTTGCAGGGGTCGCAGCTGCGACTGGGCCCGTAACTCCAGGGGGCCCGGCCATCCTGAAGACCCCTGCGACAACGGTGCCCGCCGGCTAAGTAACGCGGTAGAACCGCCGGGGCAGCGCGTTCACAGACCCTTCGGGTGGCCCATGCTGTTAGGGACACCCGATGCTATATACTTCCTGGGGGCCCAGCCAGCGCTGCGGCGCTTTAACAGCGCGACCGGGTCCCCTTTGATGAGGTCAGAAGCTGGGAGGAAGTGAATGCCTTTGTCACTCCTCCCAGCTTACAGCGGGAAACGCGCGGGAGGTGGAAGGAGATGAGGGAGTAAGAGTGGGCCACTGGACCCCAGGGAAAGTCACCCTCCTGCACCTAAAAGGTAGAAAACAGGAGGGTGACTAAAACATTTTGTATGTGTCTGTACATGTGTGTGTTTGTATGTATGTATGTGTGTCAGTATGAATGTTTCTCTGTATGTGTGCGTGTATATGTCTGTCTGTGTGTTTGTATGTATGTGAGTGTGTATGTTTGTCTGTATGTATGTATGTGTGTATGTCTGTCTGTGTGTACGTCTGTCTATGTGTCTGTATGTATGTGTCTGTGTGTGTGTGTGTGTATCTGTGTGTGTTTGTATGTATGTGTTTGTATGTATGTGCCTGTATGTATGTGTGTCTCTGTATATGTGTGTCTATCTATGGGTGTGTCTGCATGTGTATCTGTTTGCATGTGTGGGGGTGGGGAGGGGGGAACTTATGGGAGGGGGACGGTATGGGGGCCCAGGATAATTTTTCATACCAGGGCCCGTGGTTTCTAGTTAAGCCTCTGATAGCATCATAGTGATATCTCAATTAGGTTCATGCATTCTGCTTACTGTATTCGGCCCTCATTCGGCTATTTACATTTGTTTTTCTATATGCAATTCAGTTTGTCATCCTACATTTTAATGTATAATAAATGTTATGCCATATTCAGTTTTTCATATTTGCAGCTTATTATGTCAGCAAACACGACCTTGGTTATAATGGTCAGCTTCGAGTTGTTCTTAGGCTTGAAATTGGTAGCAATGTAATAGGATTGTATGTTTAAGTATCAGGAAATTGTGGTATCAAGTATTACTGTAAAACTTACACTGGAAATAGTATTTTAAATCACTTTCTGTTCAGAGGCCAATTGTGTTTCATTGTCCATGTATGTACATGGTACAATGACAATAAAGTGGAGTCTGAATTTATTACTTATGCCCACCACGCATCTTCCAACATCAGTACCTTTATGTATTCTACATGCCTGCTCTCTGGGTATTCAGACACTCATTGGGCTACATTGTTTGGTAATTATATGGCCGGCTAATGTGGTTAGCATTTATGGTACTGCCTGTTAATAATCTGTCTTATTTCACTCTGCATCACTACTTACATAGTTTTAAGCCCTTTCTGGGCTCCGCACAGACCTAGTGTACTTTATAATTATGTCAGTCTATGTCCGTTTTATGGTCAAATGCCCATACACACGACCTTCATCTAAGTATGTTATTTTCGCACTTCAAATCAAAAGGTCCACCACTTGTGTGTCATCAATAAACATACTAAATTGCAACCAATCTACTCAAATACATTTGGCCACCCTGTAGCTAGGTATAGTTATGTTGGGCCTTCATGTTGAAAAAAAAACCACAGTGCAATCTGTAAGCTAACAAAACAAGTGTTCAAAAATATAAATATATAGATAGATATGCACAATCTAAATACAGTTTGGGGACAATGGCTTCAATGAAGTGTGTAAGGAACTTAAAGACTTTAGAGCTCACCCTCAGCTCTATATAACGCTCAGTGATAGATATGGCGGTCAATCTTTATGTAAGGTGAAATTATGAAGTCCCCACTACAGATGCAGCACATCACACATATATGTTTATATTAGGCCTCACTTGGCCTTCCACAACATATGCTTCATGCAGTCCATAGTGGGCAAACTACTACAACCACCCTTTTAGGACATATATGCGTGTTGTGATCAGTGGTACCATTTTACTCAAATGTCTCATTATTATCATCTCTAATTAACTGTCCTACCATTACAGACCTCTCACGGAGCAGGTGTAAAATTTTGCATCACTATGTGTGAATTGCTACTGCTCCACAGCTCAACAACCATTAGTCAACCCAAGTCCTATCATTTCATACACCCACTAATTCTCATGCTGCACTTAAATGGTCACTCCGCTACTCTTGAATCGCAATGAGCTCTCTCGGCCTTCTACTCATATATCTTGACACACGACCCTCATTAGGCCTTCACTACATACGCTTCATACGACCCTTAGTGGGCTCACAGCTACAAAATTTTGGCCTTCCTAATGCTCAGGAATTTGATAGTGCCCTATTATACTACCTTTAAGTATACCACTTGATTTAAAAATAAATAAATAAGTAAATAAAACCAGATCGAACACCAGATCGACCAGATCGAACACCAGAGCATCACTACTGTCCATACGCAATTCACAATCTACTTCACAACTCCTACAGCCTTGGTACGATTAGCCTACATTTGTTCATGCCATAATCAGTACATCTCATATTGCCTATTATACACCCGGCAACTCAAGACTTACATTTATCACTCTTGACCTTCCGCTGCAATACCTCTACACGCAGTCCTCACTAGGCCTTATTATTATTATGATATTTATAGAGCTCCGTCAAATTCCACAGCGCTTTACAGCCTTCACTCTATACGTTACATTCGGCCCTTCATGGGCAATCCACTACAACACAATCTTGACCCTCATTTGGGCATTACATACGACTCTATTATACTGTTATGCTTAATTAGTAATAGAGGGAACACAACTGCAGAAATAAAAAAATGCATCTTTTATTTTCCTGAAGAAAATAATCCAGAATGTATTCCTTGCTTAAAAGAACAACAATCACGATTGGAAGGGGTCCCCAGGTCCCAAGGGCGGAGAGGACAGGATAAGTTGCTCCATGGGTTGGTTACGGACATCAGGTTGGTGGATGTCTGGAGAGCACATCATCCGAGCACTAATGATTTTACCTTTTACTCAGCCCCGCATGGCACGTACTCAAGAATAGATATGTTCCTGATTAATGATAGGTCGTTAGCCCGGGTTTACAGGATCAGAGATAGGATCTACACTGGGGAACCTCTGTGCCGCATCCCCATGGACATGGAAATTAAACTCATCCTTATTAAGAGATCCGGAGATTGTGGAACAGCTCCCTATAGACATCTTGGAGTTTTTCAACACCAACACCACTCCGGATCTGCGGTCGTAGACAATATGGGCAGCACATAAGACCGTCATACGGGGGTCACTAATAAAAATCGCAACTGCTAAAAGGAGGCTGAAATTCCAAAAGCTGGAGGGACTACTGCTTAGAAGTGGTATGACACAACATACGCACTTTGCTACTAGATGATACCGCTAGATCCATGACATGGTCCAAAAGGACATTTTACGAACATGCCAATAAGATGGATACCTTATTAGCCAGAGTCCTTAAATCCAGAATGAGACGTGGTCACATTACATCCATACGGCACCCAGATAACTCTGTCAAAACTATGCCCATAGACATAGCAGAGGTATTCACGGACTTCTATAAATCCCTATACAATCACTCCCCAAACTCAAAGAGACGAGGAAGCGACACGCAGGTTCCTTGACGCCCTTGGGCTGCCCAAGTTACCACAGGACGCAGTCGATACACTAGATGCTGAAATCACCCCAGACAAAATAGACCGGTCTATCACCGCATTATAAGGGAATAAGGCCCCTGGACCGGACGGTTTTGATGGTAGTTACTACAAAATGTTCAGAGAGGAACTCATTCCTCACTTAACAGTATTTAACGGGTTCCGGAAGGGAGGCACACCGAACTTAAATATGTCTTTAGCTACCATCGTCTTACTGCCAAAACCGGATAAGGACCCCCTGCTTCCGGAAAGTTATAGGCCCATATCCCTCATAAACCATGATATGAAAATTCTAGCAAAAGTACAGGCAGAAAGGCTTAACCCCTTCTTAGCAAATATGATAGATGCCGACCAAGTAGGCTTCATACCAGGTAGGAAATTATTTGAAAATACGCGCAGGAATATAGACCTGATATGGAGGCAGGTGGCCACACAGACCCCAATGATGTTCGCCTCTATTGATGCTGAAAAAGCATTTGATAGAGTGAAGTGGGGGTATCTGTTCACGCTCTTGACCCATCTAGGTTTCCCTGAACAGTTTATGGAGCGGGGCCCCCGAGATCTTTACCTGTGCTCTGACATTGCTATACATAGCCCTTAGCAAAGTCAGAGCACAGGTAAAGATCTCGGGGGGGCCCCGCTCCGTCCTTTTTCAGTTTTTCAATGGTACTCAACAGGGGTGCCCCCACTCGCCCCTTTTGTTCGTCTTATCACTAGAACCCATATTACAGGCCTTGCGGCGCCACCCGAGCGTAAAGGGAGTTGACGTGGAAGACATGGCATTTCTGGTCTCGGCTTACACAGATAATGTGCTCCTAGCGCTCACTGACCCGGTGAACTCGATGGGGGCCTTACAGGAGGTGCTGAGGGACTATGGGGCTATGTCAGGCTATAGAGCTAATATGGCAAAGTCTAGCACTCTCCCAATAGGAGTACCAGTGACAGAAATTACTTTAATACACGCTACACACCACGTACGCTTAGAACACCATACACTTAAATACCTAGGCATTCACCTGACAGCGAAACCAGAGAAGTCATACGACCAAAACTATACACCACTGATGAAACAACTGATCCAGGAGATGGAGACGTGGGTGGACAGACCTATCTCGTGGATAGGAAGAATTCATGCCATAAAAATCAAAGTCTTGCCTAGGATCCTCTTCTTGTTCCAGGTGCTACCTATCCGCGTCTCCAGATCACACTTACAGCTCCTTCAACAAGCTATTGGGTCCTTTGTATGGCAAAATAAGAGGCACAGTATTTTGAGATATATCTTATACAGGCCAAAGACGAGGTGGGGACTGGGCCTACCTAACCTATATTACTATTATACAGCAACTCAGCTGACGCAGGTTGCGATATGGCACTCCCCCCCGGGGAGAACGGAAATGGGTGGATGTAGAATCCCTCATGACAGGAGCAGACCTTCCGCAGCTCCTCATGTGGGTGCCTAAAGAGTACAGACCCATGATCAGGGTCACCAGCCCGACTTCAAACACAAGTTAAACTTAGCGTCTAACCCGTCCCCTCTTATGCCATACCTATGTAAAAGGTCTTTCATCCCTGGAATGGCAGCCAGAGAATTCAAAAACCTGGAGCGGATAGGGTTGCAACGCATCTGCCAATTATATCAAGAGGCAGAAGTCATCCCTTTCGATACGCTGAGACAGAGGGTACACCTCACCCCCTCAGACCTCTTTAGATACATCCAACTTAAAGACTTCGCTAAACTATCACATATAAGAGCGGCTGCTCGACAACAGTTGTCGTTCTTCGAATGCATATGCCTACAAGAAATCATACCTAGGGGCCTGATAATGCTCATGTATGCCCACCTCTGCTCAGAAACCAGGGAATGGGGAAAACTGGCCTATGTGGATCAGTGGGAGAGGGACCTGGGGGAGGTGTTAGAGGGTATAGAGTGGCAAGAGATCTGGGAGGCTAACCACACCTCTTCTGTGTACCCTACAGGAACAATCTGTTAAAACAATGCTTCGCTGGTACACTACACCGGTCAAACTGTATCAAATGAAAAAACCCCTACGGATGTGTGCTGGTTTGGCTGTGGTTTGAGGGGGACGTAAATCCACATGTGGTGGGAATGCCCACAGATGGCGACATTTTGGAACCGGATAAGGTTCACCCCACCTCATCCCCCCCACCCCCTATTCTTGTCCCAGCCTTTTCTATTCTTATTGTCCTTCTTTTCTTCTCCCCTACCTACTTCTGGGGATTGACTAACACATACTACAGATGGCACCGTAAGCCGGAACCTGTCTGATGTTCTCCACTAACAGAGTGAGCGAAGTCGAGAACACACTTTAGGAGATGTGGAGGGCTAGAGGGCAGACCTGAAACAAAAAGGGATTCCCAATTTGAAAACAAGCCGTTATAAAGCCCAGACACAGCATTAAATAATGTACGACGCAGACCTAGTACTCTGCAGCTCCGATGGGATCGTACAGGTAGTGATTTAGTTAAGGGGCTAGATAACTCCTTCCCCCTGGTTACCTATCTTATTATTCAATTTAATAAACAAAAATAGTATTGATGGTCATCATGTAAAATGGAGACAGCTACGAGATGCGCACATCAGACGTGTAATAATGGGTACGTCCCCTGCATGCTCATGTAATACAAGATTGGGTTGCACCCACCCTATAGATATGCATGACAAATGTTAACAAACTGCTTTAAACTATATGTGGAATGTTGTTACATGACGAATGCCTGTACATTTCTGTCAATACAAAAATAAAGAATTAAAAAAAAAAAATCAAATAAAGATACTTCAGGATATATTGCAAGAAACAGTCCAGCAAGCTTAATAAATGTATCAATACTTGAGTTTTTTAGTAGTGAAGTTTTCCAGCAAAGAAGAGTGTTCTATAAACATACTACAGTACTACATATGTGATCATTGCCGAGCTGAGGAAGCCAAGAAGAATTTGGCAAAATGCGTCCTGGGGACAGATAAGACTTGTGGATTGTGCCCTTTTAGTGTGTGTATTTTTTGTTCATTTTTATGTTTTGATAGTGTTTGTTTTTAATATATTGTTGGGAGATACCTTTAATAAATAGTAAAAAAAAAAAAAACATTTTACACACATTTCTGGGCATTTGGTCCTAAACTACACATTATGCTGTGATTGAGCGTATTGAAGTCTCTATATTTGTGCGTATCATTTCATTCGATTATTCACCTACCTATATTGAATATACAATATTGCACCATATATTCTCTTTGTTTGAGCCTACTCCTAGGACTAAAGAAAAGATTATACATAAAGAAGGGGAAGGTTGCCTAAACAGACTTCAATCCTGAGCTGGGTTCCTAGCTCTGAAGAATGTGAGTGGTTCCATTTATTGATTTTATTCCAAATTGTTTTTTTTAGCTTTACACTATTGTACTCTTTTTACTTTTTAGGCATATTATTATATATACCATCACCACTGTACTATACTTTTTAAGGTATTTTATCTCCCTTTGTTTTTATATAAAGCGCTACACCATGTTGTTTTTTTGTATATTTGTTGGGTGTATTTGGAGAGATTATACTTGGTGTTATAGCAGCTGTATTGTAAATAGATCTGGTCAAAGCACTTGCACTGTTTATTGATTTTACATACTATATTTAGTGCCTGTATACCCCCTTTTTTTCTTTCTTTAATATAGATGTATATTAACCTGGCCGGCCTTTAACCTAAGAAGATATATATAAATAACTTATTCAACTAAGAAAACACAGACCAATTATTACAGAGGGCCTCAAATTTCTTGCCATCTCTTGCGTGAAGTGAGTAGCTACCAACCATTGCGTGATTTAAAACATTTCAGAGACTTGAACCAGTCTCTATTAACTATTGATCTGAGTTTGGCTAATTATTTATGAAGATTCACCTCATCGGGATTAATTTTTTTATTTCTACTATACAAAACAACCCGTCTATCTTAAAAACCTATATAAATGCATGTAATTTTCTCTCTATCTCTCTTAGGATTCAATGATCATCTCACATAACATTTAACGTGGAATACATCACTGTTGCCCAGTTGCCCAAAGCACCACGTGTCTACTAGTCCACTTATATTTCACCCAAACTGACAATTTACCATTGGAAAAATGGGTCTAAAATACTAAGGAACCAGCACCACTTAATAGTCCTTCACTCAGTCCCACAGTGTCCAGCATGTTTGACAACAGTTCACCTTAAAATATTATCCATTATTTTAAATCCAGATTAGATTGTGGATTTGGCCACATGAATAGATGTTGCAGTGATTGACAGGCTTCAAAATCTGAATTATTTTACAATCCCTACACTTTATATTATATAACAAAACGTGAACCATAATCATGACTCCATCAACCTACATATAGTAAGCAATTACTCCATCAAAGAGGATATCTGGAAAAACAACCCAACTTGCAAATTGATACAAATGATGTGTAATTTGCTGGGAGCTTCAATCACTTTCAAAATGCATTGTTTCAAATATATCACAATTCTTAATCCATATCCACAACCGTAATTATGCAAAATTCATTAATATATACGAATGCACAAGAATTTTCAAGAAAACAGATGGTGCCTCCAAGGGGGAATTTCAAGAACGTAATCTCAATATGTTTTACGTTCTGCAAAATTAAACTATGGAAAAATATATATATATTATTTTATTTTTCGTAGAATCATTAAGACAGATTTAATGTACCCTGTCATTTAAAAATAAATCATTAAAACATATTTTTTAATTTATTTTTTTTAACTCAAAAATAAAAATAATATTTTTAAGGATTTGTTTTTAAATGACAGGGTACATGAAATGTGCAGTTGCTATCAGGCTAGACAGCTCCATTATTAATCTAATCTGATCAATGGGACGGTAGGTGCTAAACTAAACATTTCATAAATCCCTGTCGGACAGTGGCCTATGGAACGTGCTCACTTGTCAATGAATATAAAGGAATCGCTAGGATTGCTATAGGATTCAGCTACTTGCTATACTGAGTAGAGCTTACTGTTGCAAATGCAGGAACAGATAAGTAATATTTATTTTTTCCCAATATAGGCGAGGAATAAATTGCACCTCTTGCATTTTGTTTGATTCGTTATTCCGAATTCTTGAACATTTCTCATTATTGTATGCAGCTTTTGCCATTTTTTTCTACAAACTATATGAATATACATTTTTTTTAAAGTATAAAACGAATTGTAGGGTGCATTAAATTTTCAATTGTTGTTTTTTGTTCCCCTAGAGAGTAAGGAAAATGCTGTTGACCGTTGATACCTACCTGCTCGGTGACAGACATGTCTTATTCCCTGATAGAGATGCAAGTTTTTCCCAATTCTCTGACAGATTCCATCTTTTATAATGGTCATGGAATTGTAAAGTAAGAAAATCCGTTCAGAGCTCATGTTCCGTTTTATTTAACCTGTCAGTCACACGGTTTGGCCAATTTAGACATCATCCTGTGAAATTGCAAACAGCCTTTAGCCTGTCTGATTGTGCCGAGTGTATTGGCTGATACTCTGTATACTATTTCTTCACGGTTTGACTGGATAAGATCTGACACAAAAAAGTATTTTCCCTTGCAGTTATTTCAGCGTTCCCAAATTATACAAAAAGAACACTATTCCAGGTGGTTGATGGAACTTTGTTACCTTTTTCTAGCATACAACAAAAAATAGTCACAGGTGCGAACACTGATTGCGTAGACGTTTTATGTTTATCTACTTCTCCAGGATCTTTAAATCTAAGGTTCTATACAAAGAATGAGAGTTTGAAATGTGATTACAACTGGCCACCAGGATATGCTCAAATCTAAACTCTATAGAACGCTCACTAATGATACAATGATAAAGAATAACATCTGGGAGGCATTGGACGTTTGTAAACATAGGCAAGTCATTATTAGGCCATTATCACGTTCTTCATCGATGAAAATTACCATTACAACGGCAACAACATCTAAACCCCAGGATGTACTTGAATACTGGAGAATGCTAATTGTCCATTTTATGGTTGAATACTTTAAAGGGGCACTATAGTCACCAGAACAACTACAGCTTATTGTAGTTGTTCTGATGAGTATAGTCAGTATAGAACAACTACAATAAGCTGTATAGTCAGTATAGTCAGTTCCTGCAGACTTTTTAATATAAACCCTGCCTTTTTAGAGAAAGCCTTGAAACACCTCTAGTGGCCATTCCTCAGACAGCCACTAGAGGTGCTTCCTGGGTCAGGGTCTGACCCACTTGATTCGATGCATCTCTATGAAGAGATGCTGATTGGCCAGGCGGTCTCTGCCCACCTCCTTGGCTGAGATCATGAATTCTGATTATGTCAACTAAGAAGGAGGATTGGAGATGGAGCCACTCCATGCAGACCCACTGTCACGGTCCACGCCGTGACATCCAGTCTGCCAGATGTTGTCACTCCGGAAGCGCCCGATAGGGGATTTGAACTGTGGTTCTTGTGGACCGTATCCAACTGTTCTTCCTCTGAGCCATTTCAGGACTTTGGATAACGCATGTTTATTCTTGTATTGCCTGCAGCACTTGGGGGCTGGACTTCACCAAAGGCTCAGATCTGTCAGTAACTCTCCAGCTGAATCTGATACCTAATTAACAGGATATAAAAGCCTGCCTCACCCTGGGAGGGGTGTCAGTTCATTGACTCTGGTTCCCTTGTTTGGTTCCTGTTACGCCGTACCTCCGTACCTCCGTACCTGCGTTCCAGTGATTCTTGTCTAATTCCGGCTTCTGAACTTGGCTTTCCTCCTGGACTACTCTGACCTCTGGCTTCCCTGATTTTGGCTTCCCTTGACCACGCTTCTGCTTATCCCTGTTGTACTGAGACTTGGAGCACTTTTCCTGGAAAGCCCCCATGCACAGACTCACAGGCCAGGTGGCGTCTTACCTGGTCACCCTGGTCTGTGTCTACTTTGCAAGGGTGAGCGTATAACTCTGCGAGTTGGACTCCCTATCAGGTAAGACTCTGTTACACCCACGTGGCGCTGGACATAAGGTTAATTATTACTGTATTGAGGGGGGCAAGGGGGAGCAGGAGGCCCAAATAGTTAGTTTAACCCTATAGGGGTTATTGTGGCCAGCTTAAGGCACACCTGTGCAATAATCATGCTGTCTAATCAGCATCTTGATATGCCGCACCTGGGAGGTGGATGGATTATCTTGGCAAAAGAGAAGTGCTCACTAACACAGATTTAGACAGATTTGTGAACAATATTTGAGATAAATAGGCCTTTTGTGTACATAGAAAAAGTCTTAGATCCTTGAGTTTAGCTCATGAAAAATGGGGCAAAAACAAAAGTAAGGTGTTTATAATTTTGTTCAGTGTAAATCTGACATTGGAACTAAATTATAGAGGTTTTCCCCTTCAGGATTTATTTATTTTTCCAAGTCCCAGCATTCACACTTGGCAAGGTAAGCTATCTTTCCTTAAATGAAGCTTCTCGGCACCGAAACAACTTCACATGAATGCAGCTCTTGTGGTGCCAAGAGGAACCTAGCGCTGACTTACCTTTAGGGGTTAAACCATTCATGAACTGTTTTATGTTAAATCCAGCTCTGGTTATTATTATTATTATTATTATTATTATTATTATGATATTTATAGAGCGCCGTCAAATTCCGCAGCGCTTTACAATGGGTGGACGAACAGACATGTAGTTGTAACCAGACAAGTTGGACACACAGGAACAGAGGGGTTGAGGGCCCTGCTCAATGAGCTTACATGCTAGAGGGAGTGGGGTAAAATGACACAAAAGGTAAGGATAGTATTAGACTAGTGACAGTTGCAGAAGAGGAATCAGTCAGGAGCTATTAACCGTTTAATTGATACGCTTTTATGAAGAAGTGGGTTTTTAACGATTTTTTGAAGGAGTGGAGACTGGGTGAGCATCTAACGGAGGAGGGAAGCGAGTTCCACAGGAACGGTGCAGCCCTCAAGAAATCTTGAAGGCAAGCATCATAGGTGGGAGTACGGACAGAAGATAGACGTAAGTCTTCAGCAGATCGTAAGGGCCTAGATGGGACATACTTGTGTATAAGGGAGGATAGCTAGGTGGGAGCAGCATTATGTAGAGATTTGAAAGCAAGAACCAGAATTTTAAATTGAGCTCTATATTTTATAGGAAGCCAATGTAGCGACTGACAGAAGGGTGAGACATGGGAGGTGCGGGCGGACAGGAAGATGAGCCTCGCCACCGCATTCATTATGGACTGTAACGTCGCAAGTTGGGAGCACGTAAGACCACTGAGAAGCGGATTACAGTACTCAAGGCGAGAAAGGACAGTGGAATGGACCAACACCTTAGTGGCATCTGGCATTAAGTAGGGGCGGATGCGCGCAATGTTTTTAAGATGGAAATGACAGGATTTTGCGATAGATTGAACATGAGGCTTGAAGGAGAGGTCGGAGTCAAAGAGAACACCTAGGCAGCAAGCCTGCATGGTGGAGCTGATGGTTGCACTGTTGACTTGGAGGGAGACAGACACAGGAGTAACAACACTTGAGGGAGGAAAGACCAGAATTTCAGTTTTGGTCAAGTTTAGTTTAGTTTAAGGAAGTGGGCAGCCATCCAGTTAGAAACAGCAGAGAGGCAGTCAGAGACACTAGTCAAGAGGGACGGGGAGAGATCAGGAGAGGACAGGTAGATTTGCGTGTCATCTGCATAGAAATGATATTGGAAGCCAAAGGAGCTAATGAGTTTACCAAGGGAGGCAGTATAGATGGAGAACAGTAGGGGACCAAGGACTGAACCTTGGGGGACACCAACAGAGAGGAGTTGGGGAGAAGAAGCAGAGCCAGAGAAAGAAACACTGAAAGAGCGCTGGGAGAGGTAGGAGGAGCACCAGGAGAGAGCAATATCTTGTAGACCGATATTGTGGAGGATGAGAAGAAGCTGTTCAACAGTGTCAAAAGCCGCAGACAGGTCAAGGAGAATTAGGATAGAGTAGTGATCACGAGATTTTGCAGTGAGTAGATCATTGGATACTTTGGTCAGTGCCGTTTCCACAGAGTGCTTAGCGCGGAAACCAGACTGAAGTGGGTCTAGCAGAGAGTTGGACTGGAGGAAGTCTGTCAATCTCGCATACACAATTTTTTCAAGGATCTTGGATGCAAAAGGCAGTAGCGAGATAGGACGATAGTTGGATGGGGAGTTAGGGTCCAGATTGGGCTTCTTTAGAATTGGGGTTACAATTGCATGTTTGAAGGGCATTGGAAATATACCAGAGGAGAGAGAGAAATTGAGAATTTTAGTGAGAGGTGGAGAAAGAGAAGAAGACAGGGTATGGATGAGATGCAAGGGAATTGGATCTAGGGAGCAGGTGGTGGGGCGGGAGGACTGGAGCAGAGCAGAAACCTCCAATGTAGCGGGTGCGAATGAACATAGAACAGCAGAGGGAGTGAAGTTAGGGGAAGTATTGTAAGGGGAAGAAGAAAGATGAGAGACCTCTTCTCTGATTGTAGAGATCTTGTCAGTGAAGTGAGTTGCAAAGACTGAGGCGGTCAAGTTAGTAGGTGGAGGAGGAACAGTAGGGCAAAGAAGAGAGTTAAATGTGTGAAATAGTCGTTTGGGTTCGCGGGAGAGTGTGGTTATGAGGGTATTGAAGTAATTAACTTTTGCAGAGGAAAGAGCCAAGCTGTATGAGCTCAGCATAAATTTATAGTGGAGAAAGTCAGATGCACAGTGAGACTTTCTCCAACAGCGTTCAGCAGTTCTGGAGAATTTTTGGAGGTATCGAGTGAGTTTGGTGTGCCAGGGTTGTTGTTGTTGTTGGGGGGCCTGCGGCGTTTAAATGTACAAGGTGCCATGATGTCTAGTTGAGAGGAGAGGGTGGAATTGTAGAAGGAGGTTGCAGAACTAGGACAGGTGAGGTTTGAGATAGGTAAAAGGAGAGTTAGCGCTGCCCCTCTCCTTACGTTTTTGTCCGAGGCTTGAATCGGAAAGCCCATTCAAAAAATGGCTTAAGAAACGTACAGATTTCTCTCAAGCTACTGATTGGCTTAGAGTGTCAGCCGATGTTTTCAGCCAATCAGTGGCGACCTTGTCAGAAGTTATTCAAATCTTCCTAATTTATGCCTCAGAGAAAAAGCAGAGAGAAAGTTAAGCTGACATCAGGGACCTCATGGCACCATAACAACTTAATTCCAATGAAGCTGTAATGGTGTCCGGAGGTTTCCTTTAAGCGTTAATACACACGTTGTCCATATGCTTGGAATGTCACTTCAAAGGCTTTTACTAAAAAATGACAAAACTTTCTTGTTTCCTAGAAGGTTAGATTTGGAATTGTTGTCGGTATGTCTTTATATGTGAAGTTACATTGTATTCCCTCAGTCTCTTTCACGAAGGCATTCTTGGAGACAGCAATGAACACTGGCAAACTGATATACTAAATGTAAGTACTGTCTCTGAACTAAGAACATTGCAATAAATAACATGTGTGATAAAAGGTTTGATTTACTAACATAAAAGTGAAAAATAAATCACCATATCCTGCCATTGGCTGCAAAATAAAAGAGACAAGATTTAAGGCAGAATTGAAATATAGCGACGGTTTTCTGAAACTGGGAATGGCAAGAAAATATATAATTCTCCGGATATACACAAGATGATTAAAACGTTTTAATATAGTGCTGAAACCAAAATTAAAAACTGAATATTAAAAAAATATATATATTTATTTTTTGGGGGCTGGAAATCCTGACGTGATATATCAAATGAAATCACAAACACAAAATTTCAGAAAGCCTTCAACGTTAATAAACATCATGGGACAAGTGATACAAATATTTCTGTAGATTGGTTTTCAAACAAGTATTGAATCTTACACATGGCAAAGAGGACAATTTCCATTGTCATTATGCTAGTTTTAAGGCATCTTACACATATATTTTTACCTTTTTGTTCATTACCTGCATCCCCATTACACCTGTGTCTCCATCGGCTACCCATCTAGTCCTGAATAATATTCAAAGTTGTGACTCTTGCCTACCAAGCTCAAACTCACATTGCAAACCGTATCTCTCTCCTTTTCTCCAATCCACCCTCTTCACTATGTTCAGGACTTGTTCTTGTCTTCCCCACTCATTAGACATGATTTCTCAATTGTATGGAATACTGGACGAGAAGCTAAAAAATGTTATGATGTTTCCTTTAAATGTTTTCTAAAAAATATTTATGCAAAACAGCTTACCAGCTTTCCTCCATTTTATCCGGCACACAATGTCCAAAATTACCAAAGTTCCCCATCGTCCTTTGACATATTGCCCCCACAGTCTGGCTTTCTCTTTTATACAGCCCCCTTATTGTCATTCCACCTGCTAGATTGCAAGTCAATCAGTAACTATGTGTATGTTGTGTTACATTTTATATAATGTTTGTTAAGCATCAACCCTATAAGATTGTACAAAGCTACAGGCAGGCATGCTTTAAAAGTGAAATATTATAATGGTGGATTAGGAAGAGGGGCTAAGAATACATTTTGGTTCTCTCTTTTTTTAAATGCAGCCGAATATTTTACACCATGATGTATTTCACAATATGTAGAGTTTAATAACTTTCGAATAACAATGCCTTCTAAAGCCAATGCAATGAGGCCACCGAAATCCTAACACTGAGAAGTCGTTAAACCAGGAATTGGCAAAAATATACAAAAGGAAAATGTATAAGTTCCTTAATTCCTTGGCACTTTTTTCCAGCTTAGCTTTTTTGTCTAAAAAAACAATATTTCCCTTATTAATGCTTGACGATTCCTGTATTTTGCTTTATAAATCCTTAAATATCCCAATTACATTTATAGAAAATATACAGTGATTATTCTCCAACATGGCTCCAGTTACGATTGCATAGAAGGGGGAGCTTTTTGTTCAGATCAGAGCATCCCATGGCATTTTCCACACTAAACTGATTAAGTTTAAGGCATTAACATTGGATGTTTAATTCTCCACATTGGTTACTAAAACAAAATACTGTTCTAAAAAAAGGACCATTGTCAAAAAGAATTCTGAGATTCCACCAACTGATATACATGACTGTCCAGTTGGAGAACAAACGCTAGGATTAGTCAGTCATTCCTGTAGATTACGTAAAAATAAAAAATATTCACAACGTTAGTTTAGTTTTTTTTCCAAATCGTACTTTATTGAAAGGTTTTTGTATTTGGGTTATAGAAAAGAGAAAGGGGAACAGAGCATATCACATATAGAGTATAATAAAATAATAAAAATCTGTTGACAAAAAGCATTTGGTACAGTAAACTGTTGCAAGCATGGAAAGTGGCACAGATAGTGTAACAGTTACGCTAGTACATTGTTCAGTTGTGACCATCGTAAGTAGAGGTTCTGGTCGGAATGTATAACCAATTTAGGTTTTTTTTTTTCCCCCTCGTAATTAAGAATCAAGTTTTTGAAACAGAAAGGGAACTAGTGTGATACGATATACAATAAAATACAATAAGTGATCACTTAAGCAGAGTTTTGGTTAAGTACATGTAGGTAGAGTTAGTTACCAGCAGTTAGCATGAGTAAGGTTTAACAGAAACTTCTGTAGGCTCATAGCTGATGCTCGTCTTTAGTACAACTGGTCTGATATATACCATTGGTTTACCTGTACCATCATGGCAGGGGTACTGTGATATACATAAAAGAGAGGAAAAGGGAAGAAAGGGCAGGTTGTTTGTTTCCAATTGAATGCGATTAGGTTTCTGGCTGCTAAGGTTATCAATGCCACTAGTTGTTTAGAGGCTTTGGCTAAGCTTAGTGAGAACCGAAAAAAACAGGTATATTGATGTATCATCATTCAGGTCTCACTGACCTTAAGTGCTAACAATATGTCTCTCACCGTGTCCCATAAGGGTTCTATCCCCATGCATTCCCACTAGACATGTGTCATATTTCCCTCTACTACACAACATTTCCAACAGATCGCCGTGACATTAGGGAAGATCTTGTACTTGTGGAGTAGGGTTGGTGTTAAGTACCACTGATATAAGTTTTCTGTGAGTTTCTGTATGAGCGTAGCATTTAGTGCATTGATAGAGAATAGCCATTTGCACCATGAATGGTCTTTGTCACACTCATGGGCCTATTCAGTAGTGGGATTCAAAAATTTTAGTAACCAGTTCCGACTTTTCATGATTCCAACTCCACAGGGCCAGCCAAAGACATTGTGCTGCCTGGATCCAAGACTCTTCCCCTCCCAGTCACGCGCACACACAAGCACATCAACGCAGTCACTCATATATACCCTTTGATGGAAAAACACCCTGAGGGGTGCAATGGAATGAAATGAATGCATTAAATGCATAAACATTGTATTTCAAGCCAAAGAGCAGTAAATACAAATATATCATGCCAATGAACATTAAATGCATAAGTTTGTAAACTTAATATATAATGCAAGTGAACATTAAATGCGTAAACCTGGTATATCATGCCAACGAGCAGTAAAAGAGTATACTTGGTATATTATAAATCATGCCAACGAGCAGTAAAAGAGTAAACTTGGTATATTATAAATCATAATACCCTTTGATGGAAAAACACCCTGGGGGGGGCAATGGAATGAAATGAATGCATTAAATGCATAAACATTGTATATCATGCCAACGAGCAGTAAATGCATAAATGCAGAATATCAAGGCAAAGAGCAGTAAATTCATAAAATTTGTATATCATGCCAATGAGCCTCCAAAATGCCTGCTAATTCCATGTACCCTCAAACACCCTGCCAGTGCCATCTCTCTGCCCCCAGCCTCCCTGTGCCATGGCTCTTCCCTTAGCCTCTCTGTGCTATCTCTCTGTCTCTAGTAAGGGGATGGTGACAGGGTGTGTGCTAGGGTGACATCCCCTCCTTCCATCCATGTCTCTCCCCCCTTCCATCCATGTCTATGGTCCCCTGTTTTTCAAGCGCTGATTGTTAAAACAGTTCAATCATAGTTAGGTTTGTAAGCATTTACAGGTCTGGGTTCCCCTGTAAGCAGAGTTTAGGTAGAAGGATGTTTTTGACATGTGCAAAGATTAAATTGTATTTTGTTAGCGTGCCTGCATGAATTAAAATGATATAAAGGTTTTGATAAAGATTTTGCAAGTTTTTCAATGGCTGCTACTTGTTGCATTCAGATGTTCAAGTTAATGAAACAGTTATTTCTGGAGGTAGAATGGGCAGTTGGATTTTCGCATATTTGGAGCAAAGATGTTTTTTTGTATGGGTGCTGTAAGAGGTACCTACAAAAATCTGAACCTGGTAGAATGGCTGCCAATGGTGTCAGCAGTTTATAATCTTGGATTATAGCTCCAAAATAAAAGGATATTATTCCACTGTGACAATGAGTCAGTGGTACAAGTTTTCAGTTTATTGCATTCAAAAGGCTTCTTTGTGATTAATTTGTTAGAAAATTAGTACTCTTATATTGGTAAAGTAATCCTTGGCAGAAGGCAGTGCATATTCCTAGTTGAGAAGAGGATAGCGAAATCTATTTTGGTTTTCAGCTTAGCACACTCAGACATTTGGTAGCAAATAGTTGAAGAAAATGGGGAATTGCTAGAATACTTAAGTTAATCTTAATAGCAGGTCAAATTCTTATGAAAGAACTCGAATAGGACACTGGGTATGTTTAGGTACCACCTTGCGATAAGTGGTAATTTTCCATCAATTGACCCTTGCTAACAGAGTTGGTGGTAATATCAAAGCTGCTTCAATAACTGACTAATGTTCAACTAATGCTATCTAAAGATGTTATCTTCAGACACTTAGTGCAAGTAGCATTTTATATAGCGCAGGTAGCATATTTTATATAGCGCAGGTAGCAAATTTTATATAGCACAGGTAGCATATTTTATATAGCACAGGTAGCATATTTTATTTAGCACAGGTAACATATTTTATATAGCGCAGAAGGCATATTTTATATAGCGCAGGTAGCATATTTTATATAGCGCAGAAGGCATATTTTATATAGCGCAGGTAGCATATTTTACATAGCGCAGGTAACGTATTTTATATAGCACAGGTAACATTTTATATAGCGCAGGTAGCATATTTTATATAGCGCAGGTAGCGTATTTTTATATAGTGCCGGTAGCATATTTTAAATAGCACTTGTAGCATATTTTACATAACGCAGGTAGCATATTTTATATAGCGCAGGTAGCATATTTTATATAGCACAGGAAGCTTTTTTTTATATAGCACTTGTAGCATATTTTATATAACGCAGGTAGCATATTTTATATAGTGCAAGTAACATATTTTACATAGCACTTGTAGCATATTTTAAATAGCACTTGTAGTATATTTTATATAGCATAGGTAGCATATTTTATATAGCACAAGTAGTATATTTTAGATAGCGCAGGTAGCGTATTTTAGAAAGCGCAGGTAGCGTATTTTAGAAAGCGCAGGTAACAGATTTTATATAGCGCAGGTAGCGTATTTTAGATAGCACAGGTAAGAGATTTTATATAGCGCAGGTAGCATATTTTACATAGCACTTGTAGCATATTTTATATAGCGCAGGTAGCGTATTTTATATAGCACAGGTAGCATATTTTATATAGCACAGGTAACATTTTATATAGCGCAGGAAGCATATTTTAAATAGCACTTGTAGCATATTTTATATAACGCAGGTAGCATATTTTATATAGCACAGGTAGCATATTTTATATAACGCAGGTAGCATATTTTATATAGCACTTGTAGCATATTTTATATAGCGCAAGTAAAATATTTTCTATAACGCAGGTAGCATATTTTACATAGCACTTGTAGCATATTTTATATAACGCAGGTAACATATTTTATATAACGCAGGTAGCGTATTTTAGATAGCGCAGGTAAGAGATTTTATATAGCGCAGGTAAGAGATTTTATATAGCGCAGGTAGCGTATTTTAGATAGTGCAGGTAAGAGATTTTATATAGCACAGGTAGCGTATTTTAGAGAGCGCAGTTAGCGTAATTTTAGATAGCGCAGGTAAGAGATTTTATATAGCGCAGGTAGCATATTTTATATAGCGCAGGTAGGGTATTTTATATAGCACAGGTAAGAGATTTTATATAGTGCAGGTAGCCAGGTAAGATATTTTATATAGTGCAGGTAGCGTATTTTAGATAGCGCAGGTAAGAGATTTTATATAGCGCAGGTAGCGTATTTTAGATAGTGCAGGTAAGAGATTTTATATAGCACAGGTAGCGTATTTTAGATAGCGCAGTCAGCGTATTTTTAGATAGCGCAGGTAACATATTTTATATAGCACAGGAAGCATATTTTATATAGCGCAGGCAACAGATTTTATATAGCGCAGGTAGGGTATTTTATATAGCACAGGTAAGAGATTTTATATAGTGCAGGTAGCCAGGTAAGATATTTTATATAGTGCAGGTAGCATATTTTATATAGCACAGGTAGCATATTTTATGTAGTTGGTGAAAGATAACGGTGACAGCGTTTATGATTAAACAGTTGTCGAGGGGTTATTTTGTAGGTAAAGTGTCCCATTCCTTTATATTTTAGCTTATTACTTGGAGTTTTGGGAATGTTATATTTTTCATTTCGAAGTATTTTTATTTTTAGCAGCCTTTCTTCGGCTTTCTTTGCTAAATTGAGAATTAGTTCGTTTTGTTTAGTAGATTTCGAGTGTCAGGACGGCAGTTTTACGATTTTAATTTTCCCTATAAATTTTCAAGTAGGTATTTGCAAAAAAAAATGTTATAAAAAAATAAATAAATACATTTCAGATAGGAAGAGTAAATGGATTCCTTTGTATCGAATCAGTGTGGGCGAATTTTGTTCAGTCGAAACTTCACAAGTTTATTTTGCTGTCGCACTTGCTGATACTGGCCCCTTTTCTTGTTTATAATTAATATTGTTCATTAAAACATTTACAATCCAGCGGGTATTAGTTACGCTTTGAATACTTGGTTGTGAAGGTAAATAACATGCGATTCTTTCAGGTCCGGCCTGTGGCAAAGCGGCTATATTGGATTGGTGCAAATGTAATCAAGAAGATTGGGAGATGGAATCAGACTAGTTTTCAGTTATACGTGTTTGATGATTTGATTTAATGTTGTCTCTTCCTCTTGTCATTCTTTTATTTTCAGTTACCATAACAAACGTTTGGATTCTAGGTCACTCAATGGGTCTGGCAGGCCATACAAAGAACAAGAGCCAGAATACTCGGACATGAGCAGAACTTCAATCAGGGCGATGTATAGTTGATCTGAGATTTGGGAATTATGGTCATTAGGTTTAGTCAAGTCTGTTTATTGCACAGTTTGAGTTAGTGGACCATTAAGGAATTATTTCCTGTAACCGTTTTAGTTTGATTGGCCAGCATCAGCTATAGAATAGAGCAAATATGGAGTAGTGTAGATTTTGTTAAAACTCTTCTTACTGCAATTCACTTTTGTGAATTATTTCCTTCAACGGTTTACTTTTGTTCAGGAGTTGGCCCCGCGATTGCTATGGTTAGAATCGCAAGAGAAACGTTGTTGGAGAAGGTGCACATTAAGCTGGGTGTTTTGCATACACCTATACAGTACGGTTCAGGCTCATTTGGCAAATGTTGGAGTTAAATATATTTAAGTTGGAGTTACAAAACATAATGGAAGGGCCTTGGCTGTAGGGGGCCTCAGCTGGGGTACTGTCTACCCGAGTTAAGGCGGTGGGGCAAAAGTCATCCTCACGGTCAAGTTCTGAGGAAGGATATGGTAGTAAATGGTTTTAAATAAAAGGCGGTCAGGTTAGTTATGACTGACTGGCAATAAGGAGAGCAGGCAGAGAAGTAGGGAAGGTGGTCAGCTAATTGGAGTGGAGAGCAGGCAGAGATGTAGGGAAGGTCAGCTGATTGGAGTAGTGAGCAGGCAGAGAGGTAGGGAGGGTGAGCAGATTGGAGTAGTGAGCAGGCAGAGAGGTAGGGAAGGTCAGCTGATTGGAGTAGGGAATTGGAGTGGAGAGCAGGCAGAGATGTAGGGAAGGTTAGCTGATTGGAGTAGTGAGCAGGCAGAGAGGTAGGGAAGGTCAGCTGATTGGAGTAGTGAGCAGGCAGAGATGTAGGGAAGGTCAGCTGATTGGAGTAGTGAGCAGGCAGAGAGGTAGGGAGGGTGAGCAGATTGGAGTAGTGAGCAGGCAGAGAGGTAGGGAAGGTCAGCTGATTGGAGTAGTGAGCAGGCAGAGAGGTAGGGAAGGTCAGCTGATTGGAGTGGAGAGCAGGCAGAGAAGGACAGTAGATTGGAGTTGAGAGCAAGCAGAGAGGTAGGGAGGGTGAGCAGATTGGAGTGGAGAGAGAGGTTTATGGAGTTAAAACCATTTTGGTAAACAAATTCTATCTCCCTAAACAAAAATGAAATGGTTATATTATTTGTCATATTGTTTTTAAATGGACTGTTCCAGGGCATTTTAAAAGTAATGTGTGTTTGAATATTGTAAGACAGTGACATTTTAAAATTATAGTCATCATGCGAGCCCATCAATAACAATTGTAAAAGGAAATAGTGTTTCAATTTGAAACTGCGAAAACCAAAAAAACTTATTCGTATCATCAAGTGAATAAAACCTCACATATTGGTAAATATGTAGATTTATAGGGGTTTATATAAAGGTATAGAGCTGTGTGAATCTGATTTTCTGAGATGTGATAAACTGTATACAAGCAACAGTTAACCAACATATACCGTGTTGGCCATCCATGGCAGCATTGTATGTGGGTATGGATTCTACTCTCAAATAATGGACTTCACCCTCTCTTTTTCTGCTCGCTTGGCTTTCAGTTGCCCCCATCTTTAGGGGTGGGTCATATTTTTTTTGTAACTTACATGACTCGTATTGAAAAGTCTAACCAAGGGAAGTTCAGTCTCTCTTCCTGATTGGCAGTTACAGAACATTTTTCAGGTGCAATAGTGGTATCAAATTTTATTTTAAAGGGTTACACCAAGCATCATAATCACTCAGCCAAAGGAATGTAATTCTGTGCATAGAACTGTGTACAGAATTGACATAAGCCAGCCGGGAACTCTTGTTCCCTGTTGGCTAACAATATCTCAATGACACGGTCAGACATGGAGTTACACTGAAGTGGTCACGGTGCTTGGAGTGACCATTTCCATTGGCTTTTCAGCTAAAAGATGATTTATGAAGAACATAGTATTTAATGATATATTCCATCACTAAAGCCCAATGCAAATTTAAAATCTACATCACTTCTGAAGAAGAGGAACAAGGCTGTTTTTAGACTATGTCAGAGATACCATATGCAGTTCATTAAATAAGTCGTATCATACCCAAACATCCAGTCAGAGTGAAATGAAAACTGAATTGCAATATTTATTTAGGCAAAAAGTGTGGATATGGAAAACATGAATAAGTTCTGATCGCACATTCCTTTAATTTTCTCAATTCTATTCTTCTTAATCGCTGCTCTTGGCACTCGGGTGAAAATGATCTAAAGGGAACTTTGGATTTAGGAGTAATTTAAATTAGTGGTAGCTTTAATTCTTTTTGACACTGTGGACCATTTATGGTTTATTCTTGTCCTTCATAACCATATGCTTTCCTGGTTCTCATTTTAGCTCTGCAAAACACTTTCAGTGTCTTCTTTTATGTTACTTATTCGTCTCTATTACAAAGTTCAAGAGTAGCAGCACAGCCACAGGTGATTTTGAACTTCCTTTGCATTCAGGTACGGCCCATATGCTAAAGGAATCCACGGATTTATATCATTCTTCTTTCTTGAATTTTTCTTTTAATAACGGTCACTCCTTTGTGTCTAACTGCCTGTTTCTTTAAACTCAATCTCCTCAATGGAGCATTAACTTTACTTCGTTACTCTTCTCTCAACTCAAAAAGTTGAACTGTAAACCTCATCCGTCAAAGCTGATGGATTCATGGTGAATCTAGGAAAGGCACTGTTGGATTGTCATATTTTATCTTTAGAGAACACACACACTTACATCGATATACAGATATTTTTATGTTACCCAGATTCTGTTTCTGCGGGCATTTAATTGGAAGGTAATTTATTCAGCCCATACAGTTGGCCACGCATTACTTATTGGGAAAGCTACTGCAGCATGCTTTTTTAATCCTGCAATATTTCATTTAAAATCCTATTTTTCACATACCAACCTCTCTACAATTGAAACTGCATATCTTCTTTAAAGGGACAATCCAATGCCCAAATACAAAAATAAATTTAAAAAATCACTGTTTAGTAGATACACCCAAAATGAAAGCTTGAATGTATTTAATTCTGCATTTTATTTATTTATTTTTTTATTGGCATTCAATCTAAAATCGGCTTGCAAAACCTGCAGATCTCTTGCCTCCTGCCTTTACAAGCCCTCCTTTTCTAACCACACCCAGACTTTCTGTGGCTGTCAAATTACAGACTTCCCGATGCAGCTCAATGAGAAATCTTTGCAAGGCAGGTGCTCTGGGCAATACCTGCATCTTAAATTCAGTGCAAATAAGCTAACGGGACCGATTGTCTGCTTGAAAAGCCAGGGGGAGGAGGGTGTGGTAAAAATATTAATTTTTAAAAGTGTAAATTTCTATTGAAAGCTGCATTTTTTTGCAAAATGGAAAAAAGAAAAAAAAAAGTCACACTGCACACAAAGCTTTTCAGCAAGCAACATGCTCTAGGGTTCTGGAGGGTCCCTTTAATTAGCAAACACAATGCATGTCTGTCCATTCACTCTATCCACTAACCTTTTGCTTGTCCCGTTTGCAATCCCAGCTTCTAGCTCACAGGTAAGTATTTTCATTATGAAACTGGATTCAAGTTTTTATTTAATGGTTAACATATATCGAATGACCAAACTTGACAGCAGAAAAAAAAAAATCCTTTTTACAGTCAGTTTAATTAAGATTTATTAGAACAATGTTACATTTTCTTTATACATGCAACACTTTGTGTTTAAATTGTACACTGACACAAGTGCACACCACCTGCAACATGGATCTATCTTCTCATCGTAACAAATCTATAAAGGTTATTTACTAAAATATTATGATTTTAGGATTTGAAAATAATAGGAATGTTCATTTAGTTGCATTGCTAGGTTGCATGATGCAAAGAATAAAAGTTAGCATTTTATCTATAGCAGTTGGTCGAGAAAAATACATAGGTACAAATAAAAAATAAAAAAGACACAAATGGAAATTTGCCAAGCATTTCTCCTATAAAATGTTGCAGATTACGGGACAAGTTACCGCATCCGCTACTCATCTGCATCAAATAAAGATTTAAACAGAAGAAGAAAAAAAAGCTATACACATGTTTGGTCATCCACATTATAAAGTCTAAATTATTTCAAAAATCTTACATGGAATGGGTGTCTTGTAGATTTATTGTGCAGAAAATAATTTTTGATACGGCTAAATAAAGGCTAGCCATAACACGATCATAAAATGTGATTTATGAAATCCAACTTCAACTATCAATTCAACCAATTCGATAAATATTAAATAGAAAGTTTATTTTACTTCCTAAAACTGTACCGTTCAAATTCATTCTACTATTGCAAATAGTAAACATTTTCAGCTACAGTAAACATTATAATTAAGGAAACACTTAAGCCGATCTCCTGGACCAAATTAAATTAATAAGGACGCCAAGTGACCTGGCTTCCGTTCCTGTGAGCCACTAACAAGCCAGAATTTCAGAGTAACAGACAGGGGGATCCCTTTACTTTATATGGATATGGGTAAAATGTTTCAGCCATTTTTTATTTTTTTTATTGGTAAAAATTCATTTTTGTGGTACATGATATCCTTAATTTGCGTGTACCAAATTTAAGCCCATGATAAATCCATTTTTTTTCTCAATTATTCATTTACATAATAAAATAAGTTAAGTATTGTTTAACAAATCATTTATTTAGTAGTGACCCATTAATATATGACCTTATTAACTTGATGTTATTATGTAGCCAAGAAAAATAAAATAATTCCTGACTCTGGCTTGTTAGCAGTCTGACAAAATTAGTCTTTGTTAAATCCACAAGGATCTACATCCAAGGTTTATTTATAAAAGAGACTTTCGGTTATTCTGAACAATTAAGCAATTACCACGGGCAGTATTCTTGCTTATGATCATCCACAATACAATTTTATGTTTTAGATTATTGCTTTGCCCATATTAGAACTTAATATGACAAATAATCTAGATACAGGTTTACTGTCATACAATACAAAGTAACAACTTTTCTCTTTTACAAAAAACCTGCCATTTAAAAAGCAACACAGCATTACGATGATACCAGCATCTGGTAATATTGACAAAAATAAAAGGTGCAAAGTTAGAAGGAAAAAACCCTATCAACTATCCACAACAAACTAATGATTTTTTGTTTGTTTTGTTTTTTAAACATCATCCACACTTTTTCCTTCAAAAACATACACATATATGTAAAATAAATACAATTAGTAGGGCAGCACACATCACAGTCTTCATTAAATAAAGACTTCTAAAAATGCATTTCCCTAAATTCTGCTTGAGCATTTATTTTTTGGCTTGGAGTCTTCGACACCGCGTGCAAATAATTTAACCAACTGAGAGTGGACCCTGGGAAAAGAAGAAACTACAATTAAAGCACATCAATATGGAGACATAACATAACATTTCTGGGAATTTTATAAAAGGTTTTATTATTTTTTCTTAAAGGGACACTATAGGCACCCAGACTACTTCACATCAATAAAGTGTTCTGGGTGCCATGCCCCTGTTTTAACCCTGCAACTGAATATATTGCTTTTACACAGGAAAAGCACTGTTTACATATCAGAGCTTACCTGACAGCCACTATAGGCACTTCCGAGGAAAAAGGCAGGTTAAACTTTCATCTAGAATAATTATTGTTAAAGGCAAACTCCAAACCTAATGCACCTTATCTTTAGCAGACATTGTGTCCCTTTGTATTATTTTACAAGAAGTGTCAATTTCAAAAGAGAGCATGAAAACAAAAATTGCACAAGAAAATGACAGCGTTATATACATATATGGAATAAAGGAAACGGAGAAAATAATGATATAAACTACATTTAAAAGCCACAAGACTAGGACTATCTGGTTTGCCGAGATTCCCCATCACTATTAAAGGAGTTTGCCATATTCTGGAAAATATCTAAAAAGGGAACAGAAGGTGAATTCCAAGTTTAGATCGCCTATTACTGAAAATGAAAAACGTTCCAGAAACCTCAATGGGATTGTAAAGCAGCATACCTCATCTCAATGGCAGTCTGGTCCAGGGTCTCTCCATCACAATTCCAGATGCTATTCACCTGATTACATCCACACGAGGGATGATCTGTACAGATCTGCGCAAAGTTCTTTTTTCCAGAAATCCTTAGGTCTGTGCTCTCTGCGTCACCATCTTCATCTTCAAAATGTTTTGGGGTAAATTGAAAAGTTTTCACCCGATGAACTTCAACAAATGGAAAGTCAAACTACAGATGGAGGAAAAATAGTAAAATGTAACTAAATGAAAAGACTAGAGATAAGCACATAAAGAATTTTCATTTTGGTTTGATAAGGTCTGTTCTGAAAATTTTCAGTTCAACTGAAATATGTTTTGCATATCTATTCAGTTACTCCGAAGTCTGATCAAAATTTTGTTTATTTCATACAATTCATAATCTCCATGGAAATGAATGAATTAAAAAGGGGGATATTCATTCACTCATATTCGTAACGAATGGCATGGAAAGAAATGCATTCACTGGCTCATTTGTTCATTTGATTGTTCGAGAAAGATTTTGTCCTAAAACAAATAGCAGCTGAAATATTAACAATTTTTCGATTAGTCCATAAACAAACGCACGTGTCAATCTATGAAAGACTGTCAACTACAAAAATACTGAACTGAAAGAGTTCATATATTTTTCAGATGCATAAAAATGTTCCAAAGATGTGGTCTGATTAGAAAAAAAAAAGGATTATATAAGCCAAACCAAACTACAAAAAACTCAATGCAAGAATTAAAAGTCACATTTTGCTCACTTTTGTTTCCTTATATAAAGCATGCGGGCATGCTTACATTTACCATATAAACATAATAAGTAAAAGTATATATACATCGCTAGCTACAGCAAGTAATAATACAGTAGTGGACAAACTAACATCACAAGACAAGGCGGTTTCCTTTATTTTTGTATAGTATTATTACAATTGCAGGTCATATTAGGATGCTTGCCAACTTGACTTAGCTGCATAATAAGTTTGACAATTAACATGAATGGAGCTACTTTGTAATCAGATACACTTTTTAATGAATGCAACAAACCATTTCCAAATCCCCTGTCCAGCGAGAGACTATCATGGGAGACCAATCAGTGGGAGCATTGGTGGCGCAATCTCAGCTACTTCCTGGTCTTTGCCAGCTTTCCAGCTGCAGTTGCAAGTCCAGTGACACAAAAATATATTAAATAAGCTTTAAAAATGCAGGTACTCCTCCCGGGAAAGAAAACTGCTTGTTAACAGAGCCGCAATCACAATATATTTTAGAAGTGCGCAGTTTATCTATTTTCGCATTCTGCATACACAGTACCTGGTCTTTCTTGTTTGTGTGTCTGATAAGGTGCCTCAGAAAATTTAGCCTGGAGCATTTATGAACCACAATGAGATCCGCCGCTCCATCTGCCAAATGAGCTGCCGGGGAGAGACCCTTTGGACTTCGCGGGCAGGCACAGCACATGTTGGCTGCATTGACTGCCATGAACTTCCCTTTGATTGTCTTCCAATCTTCTTGTTCTAGTACAAAAATACAAAGTTTCACAATTCAATGTTAGAAAGCAGGCTTGATTACACGATGACCTACCAGAGGATATTATGCTCAACAATAGGATTTCTCTCTATTTCATAAAACAAATACAATTTGCCAATAAAGGGAAACAATCAGAGCAAAATTTCTTCCTCTTTGTAACATAGATAATGCATTAAAATGAATTAATAATATATAAATTCCCAGATTCCTTCCCTGTGATGCTTAGTGGGTCTGTGTGCAGCTACAACTAGACTCCTCGGCCTGTTCCTGAATGGATGATACCCCATAAAGCTGTCAAAGGTGAAGGGGTTAAACTGGGTATATGCAGCATTACTACACAGAACATACAGACTCCAGGCACCAAGACCATTTCAAATCACTGAGGATGATGGAATAAACTGTGACCCAATGACCATGTATGAAACGGGTTTATGAACTTATTTGAAATGGTTTACGTATTAATGCACCCTCAGTTGTTATATTTTAAGATCCACTAGCAACAGTGCTCTGCTTTACACAGACCATAAAAAACACTATAATGTAACTCAGAAATGAATTGACAGCATGCACCAAGATTATGACAATGCTGATTTAACTTTGTGTAAGTAAAGTGATTTAAAATGTTCTTTTAAAAACCACTCCACCAAACATCACATTAAAGTCTCTTATTATCAGGATAATCACAGAGAAGAGAATAAAAAATAAAAAAATATCTACCACTCGCTGTAAAAACCTTCAACATAAAACAGGCGAGGGGGTGGCACATGGACAGCCTACTATTCTCGCAAACATTTAAAGAAAGAATTGAAAGAAAGTTCGAAAATGTAATTCCCCAATATTAGAAGGATTCAGGGTAGGGGCGTGAAGCAGCCAGTGTTGAAAGCATTCTAAAGCAGTTATACAATGTGCAGACTACTCCACAGGTTTGGTGCCAATTAACTCTTATTCAAGCATGCAGAAAGGTAATTATAACAGGAGGAATAGATCTTAAATTGTTGTTTTTTTCCCCTTCATTGTGAGGAGAAAAAAAACCCCCAACACGTCAGGGATTTAAAAGAATGACATTTACATCCTCGTCACAGTTGGAGAGCAGCTGGACAGAGAGCGTGGATTGGTGACTAATGACACCGCAGTACATCTGTGAACCATTCCCAGGTCAGTCTAGGTGATTTGTCTTTAAAGGGACACTACCACTAACATGGCCGTAACTAGATCACTTGTGCATTACAAAAACAAACTCACATGCTGTGTTTGTTTTTTTCCCTTTCTTTGACCTGTGACAAGGGAGTGAAAGTACACACTAAATGATTCACAGAGGCAGAACAAAGAATGTCTTGGTTTAGAGAGTTATTTCAAGAACCATGACCACTTCAGTGATTTTAAGTGGTCATGGAACCTGTGCTCTGAATTTCGCTATGAAACACTGCACAAACAGAGATTAACCCCTTAGCTGTTGGAGGTTCGGGACTGGCGAATGTCAACGTCTGTTAAGTTGGCATTTAATACCAGCACAAAGAGCATGCTCCTGCCAGACAGCCAATTGCAGCATGCACCTCACAAAGGGTTACCCCAACAAAAAAAATTATGGAAAAAACACTGGTTTTTGGTTGGAGAAAAACCTTTATAATATATCCTCGTAAAGGACTAATTCTGAAGTGTAATCTGAACGTGAAGCGTCTGTATTAAGTTTTCCTTATTTATTAGGAATTTCACATATTCTTGCCTAGCCAATAATACATAATATTTTAAAAAGCAGATCTGTCTGCTATATTGCGTTGTGCGGTTAATCTTTCTCTCTTTCTTCACTAGAGGCATCAAGACGCAGTAATTGAGGATTTAGGATTCTTTATGAATTTGAGACTGCATCCAGAGTTTCTCCTATTGAGGGGGGTGCATAAATAGGGAGTGTAAAATTGCAGAACACTAAAATATTCTGTACATACACATTAGAACTATTTACTTCATTTCTGAAAATTCCGCTGCATTTGTTTTCTGCCCATAGTGCTTTAAAGGACTATGAAGCTCAAGGAAGTGGAAGTGGTCAATGAAGTGGTCTGGGTGCCAGGTCCATCTAGGGTTAACCCTGCAGCTGTAAACATAGCAGTTTCAGAGGAACTGCTATGTTTACATTAGGGTTAATCCAGTCTCTAGTGGCTGTCTCACTGACAGCCGCTAGAGGCGCTTCCGCGCTTCTCACTTTGATTTTCACAGTGAGAAGACGCCAGCGTCCATAGGAAAGTATTGAGAATGCTCGGCAGAAGAGGGAGGAGAGTCCCCAGCGCAGAGGGAGTCCAGCACTGGAGAAAGGTAAGCCTTTAACCCCTTCCTCCTCATAGAGCCCGGAGGGAGGGGGGCGACCTATTAACACTATAGTGCCAGGAAAACGAGTTTGTTTTCCTGGCACTATAGTGGTCCTTTAAGAAAGTCCTAAAATCAGACAACAGCTGGAGGAATGGTATTTAAATACCCACCATACAAACAAGTATAGGTTAAATGAGGCTTTTATCTTTCTCGTTAAAGAAGACCCTATCCAATGTGGGATGTGAAAATATAAATTACAATGTCTAGATTACCACTAAAGGATAATTATCCACATGCTGTCTTGAGGTGTTTTTAAAAATAAATAAAAAATAAATCAAGATTTAAGGCAATTTAATGTGTGACATTATTTGAAGTCTTTGAGCAGGTTAGTCACAATCTTTGTCTACCTCGCTCTCGAAGATGCAGCAATGATTAATAGCAACTAAGCGGAAAAATAAACATACAAAAAGAAACCACAAATAGCAATAAAAAAAAAGGTGGAATTAGCGTGAGAAAGTACAGTGAGCTTAATATGGATTGGTACATTCTGCCAGTGGTAGAGATCTTTGATTCATTCATTACTAGCTGCATCCCATATGGCAGTGATCTCTGCATTTTATGCCAAGCCCCCTGAACCCATTATACTACAACAGGACCTAGGGATGCCCAATCCCCTATTCTTCACCGTATAACAGTCAAAGTCTCCTAGCAATACAGCTTTGTGTTCTTCAAAGTGATGGGCTCTTATTGTAAAACAATGTTTTATCACAAAAAGTCCAGTTCAAACCTTTTACTTCTACAAATTATCAGTAACATAAAACTGCTTTCTCTAAAATACAGAAATGTTCTCTTTCATCAGATTTCAGTACGAGAAGCCTCTTTAATGGAGATTTACATTTTTCATTATGTGTGTTTGTGAAATCTATTCTAGAGGAATTTTTTTTTCCTCTCAATTTTCATTTCTATTGAGATATACGAGAGTCAATCATCGCAGGCTTTAGTAACAGAGCACAATAAGATGTTATGATAATTTGCAAAGAGTATACATATCTCCCTTTTATAAAAAGAAGACAATTCTAAATAAAGTTTTGCAGCTACAAGAACATTGTACACAACAAAGATATAAAGTACCGTATATACTCGAGTATAAGTCGACCCGAATATAAGCAGAGGCCCCTAATTTTAGCCAAAAAACTGGGAAAACTTATTGACTCAAGTATAAGCCTGGGAAATGCAGCAGCTACTGGTAAATTTCTAAATAAAATTAGATCCCAATAAAATTACATTGATTGAATATGTATTTAGCTCCGGTCTGCTCCCTTCACTTCCGCTGACAGGAGCTGCAGGAAAGGTAAGTAACAGCTTGCTGCCAGCCCTCCTCCTGCACAGCCAATGCCGCTGGACCACCAGGGAATGAGAGAGCCCTCGAGCCCTCGAGATTTAGACAGTAAGCCAAACGGAGCGGAAGTGAAGGGAGCAGACCGGAGCTGACAGTGAGCGGAAGGGAACGGAGGTGAAGGGAGCTGACAGGAGCTGCAGGAAAGGTAAGTAAATGCTTCCTGCCAGCCCCCAACAGGACTGCCAGGCTTGTAATGTAATAATACAGACAATGACTCGAGTATAAGCCGAGGTTTTTCAGCACAAAATATGTGCCGAAAAAGTCGGCTTATACTCTAGTATATACGGTAGTTACACAGTGACGGACGGTGGTCTAGAGACATATTTGTCGATATCTAGCATTTTAGTGAGAATGGGAAACCTGCCCATCAACTAGTAAAGAAATAAAAATGAACAAGATATTGTGGGTCACTAGTATTTCGAAGGGAAGTGTCAGGATACATTTGAAATTGTTAAATCAAAATTATTGTTTTTAAAGCCCCTTTACCAAGCCGGTTGATTAACCTAATAAAAGCCATCTGGAGGACAGACACAGACACACACGATGAGGTGTTTAGAATGGAGCAGTCTTCACCAGTTGGGTTTTACAGCTTGGTTAATATTAAAAATGTCTTTGTTTAATTAAGTCATACCGGACTTTAGGAAGCTGTTAGAGGTTATGGAATCTACTATTCAATGCAAGTTTCAACTAACGCAAACTAATAAAATAGAGACCAACAGTCAGAAAACAACCCGGCTTCTTATAAATGAACCAACAGATTATGGAAATTGCTTTGTGAATTAATTTCAACAGAAAATCCATAAATGACAAATAACCAAGAAAATAATGCAAAAAAATGCCCTTAGCTATACATCAAACGCACAAAAAATAAGTATTACCATCAATACACTGAGTATAATCTCATATTCACGAGCCTCTGTTTGGAAAGCCTTCTACTGCTAGTGCCAACTCTCTCGCTATACAGCTATCTGCCAATCACATAATTGCCTTTTGTTTCCAAAGACATCTGGATGAATCACTCGCAACAGATTTGCCAAATACTTAAAATCCATTACTCTTTGCCCATATTAACCTTGTCACAGGCAGAAGATGGGGTTAATAACCAGCCCTGCAATTTGAAAGTGTTTTTTTTTTTTGCAACTCTGCACCAGGAGTCGTTTGCATGACATGCACAAAGGTGAAAAAACAAGGCAAAAACAAATATTTCGCCCTTGCCACCAGATGAGCCAATTAGGTGACATCCACCTGTGCTATAATAAGAGATTTCAAATAATCATAGAAGCCATTTACTGCCCATCTGTTACAGTCAAGGGCTGATACTCTTCATGTTCCTACTAATTCAAGAGGTTTCAAAACTTTCCATTTCATAATTCAATTCTCATCGGAGGACATGGAAGGAGTTTTACTGTATAGAAATAATCTATCTATATTTCCACCTCTATCGAGAGAGAGAGTTATACATTAATACAGATAGAGAACGGACAGTTAAATTAACATGTCTACTATTTTTGCGTGAAATGTTTTACAATAAAGATTATCTGGTTTATAATTAATCAATAAGTAACAGGACTCCCACTCTTAACAGTTTAAAGGGACACAGTCTGCTTGGAGCTGATCTCCATTTTTAAAGGCATTAAGTAGGTAATGCATATTTTAAGAAATATTGGAGAGAGAAAAAAAAAAAAAAATTCACCTTTAAAGTTCCAACCTTGTAGGAAATCTGAGCCATCGGAAACTTCCTGCGGTGAAATCAGTCCAGATTTAAAGTACAACTGTCACCTCAAAACTATTTTTGATTATTAGAAATCTTTCATTGAGATTTGTATAATGTAAAATAAAATGAGAAAAACTCATTCCTAGCAGCATTTATAAGGCTGCAGGATCCGGTCATATTCTAAAGTTAGAGATCAGAAAAAAAGCATTATTCAGTTCAGGAAAACATGCATTAAAGCACTGGCCCAGCTAGAAGCGATACACCATAGTTGCATAGTTAACACCTCCCACGTGGGGGGTTGAAATAATTGGTGTGCATTTCACAGAACGATTAGCGATTCTGTTTAACGCACTAACCGTAATGCCTACTCTAACCTCTTGCTGCATCCTTTCAAACTGAAACAAGCCCTGGATGAACAGATCAAGGTATTAACATTTATAGAGACCCAATTCAGTGAAACAAGTGTTTTTCACACATCTTTGCAATAAAAAAACAGACTGAAAGATGGCCATCAAATAGACTGCCACATCCTAGGACTGATCGATTGCCACAGTCTCAGACTCCAACAGAAAGATTCATACCAAGAGACAATTCCCTTTATTTCAGATAACATTTTCCACAATATATTTACTACAGGTCAGACCATAAATGCCATTTTACATACCTCACGGTCAACCTACATATATGACCCCCAAGTCCTAGGAAGGGGGTAGCAACCTACAGGTCCAGGTGTTGTGGGCTATATCTCCCATAATGCTAGCAAAGCATCAGGGAATATTAGTCCACAACATGCGGTGTGCTGAATGTTGCCACCCCTTTCTAAGGCCTTGTCTCCATTGGTCATGTTTTCCCCTTCGGCTGGGAGTTCAGCTGTAGACGCACAGTGTGTATATGTGTATGTGCCGTCATTCGCGCTCTCTGATGACACCGTATTCACACAGACAGCATAGGATATGCCTGCATAACTGGAACAACTAGAAACTTGAAAATGAGGAATCCTCAATATATCCTCCCGAGTAACACTCAATTGTACTGGCACATGTCAAATAATCACGGTGAAATTGTTAAATCTTTTTTTCTATTCCGACTGGAAAGTTGAACAGATGCATCATATCTTTGTAGACACAATGTTACTTTTCCCCCTGAATTCCAATGAGCACAGGTTAGCGGATATTTCCAAACCGGAGACAGAAGATATTCTCTCTCTCAGGGTTTAGAACTCTGACAAAACGTATTCAGCTTTCTATGGATTACTACTCTCATCACTCCAGCTGTTGTCTAAAAAGGGAATAGATAACAAGCCTGAAGATGCTGCCAATAACTTGAGTTCTTACCATTCTGCAGTGAGCCAAGCGTTTGTGCTTTCTGATGTTCGTCCAGCTGTTTGCTACTTTGTCTGCAAATATCGCACCTGCAATAACAAACATCACGTTGTGATTAAACATTTCCTCCATATCCCACCAGGAGTACGAATATTGCAACCCAGCTCTGTCCACTCACCCAGACATGCATCTGGTTAGGTCCCTTGGAGACCCCGCTGCCCACTTGGCAGCTTGAAAAGACACCGTTCCTTCGTAGCAGTGATGAGACAAAAAGGTCTTGATCCCTATAAAAAGATATACAAGAGTGACGTTGTGATGCATATCAGGTGATATAACTAATAGTAATGAATAATAATTCACATCCATTCAGCCAGTATTGGTATAAAGATATAAATAAATATAGATACGGTTACCAGATCCACCATGTTTTCAGGGACACTGTATACATATTGATGGGCACCACACTGCGCAGGACTCGCCACAGATGGCCCCGTCTCCATGGCAGATATCAGCAATTTTGATGATTTCTGACAATCCAATTCCTTCCCATAGAAAAGCATTGGGACGCTAGTGCAGCACTGACACAGGAAGCACCTCTAGTGGCCGTCTGAGTAACTGCCACTGGAGGTATACTTAGGCAGCTATGTAAACACTGCCTTTAGCAGGGACAGGCAATACACACTAGAACCATTACATTAAGCTGTATACTATACATTAAGCTGTAGTGGTTCTATTGACTATAGTGTCCTTTAATGTGCCATGTAGACCTATAATGTGCAAGTCTTTGTAGTATAACAGTGGGAATAAAATCAGCACAAAATACAAAAAAATGCACTGTAGAGAATAAGTTTTGAAATGCTTTAAAGGATTTCTACACAGCAATGACTCGGGGGCTTTTTAAATGGGAAAAACTTTGCTAAATGTAATAAAGCAGGAGTGAATTGTGCAGCAGAGTTGGGCAGTAATTTGACTGCATCCTAATTTTGATGGAAGAGTGAAAGCCATTTTACTGAAGCAAATTACGGTGATTTATATTATTTTGAAGAACACAGATTTTTGAAAATACAATAAATACAATTTCCATAATTACATTTAAGGATGTTATAGCATCGGATAGATTTAGTGCAGTAAAATGATGGATCACTGTTGCACAGCAAAGAAATCCTAAACCCACAAATCACATTTACATTTTTAATTGCTCATCACGGCTTATATGGTTTTATTGCACATTTATTTTTTTTATTTCCCTTCTGGGACGTAACACTGAAAGCATAACACCATACAAACAGGAAGATATGATAAATGATAAGTGGGGTACAGATTGACATTTCTTCCCATGATCAAAGATTGAAATATAAACCATTCATATGGAAAACTCCTCTACGTAAATAAGTTATAGAATAAAGGTGAATGTTAAGGTGTTTGTGTTATTTCCGGTAATCTATCCAAGCAGTTTTACAAGGATATTGAAACATGCGTGTCAGCTTTTTCATTTGATATTTTAATGCAAAGTTGAATTTTTAGTCTTCCAGTAGGTTATCTAGAATGCGCAACTCAGAGCAAAGTACTAGAACGAGAGGCCTGGCTCACAAAAAAATAATGAAATGCCCTTACCTGACTGCTTTCAAGGGATAATCAACAAGCAATGACATAACTAAGAACTACAATACCACAAACAACTCAAATTATAACAGCTAAGAATGAAGCGCAAAGCACAAAAGAATTAGATTCATGGCACTGTTCAAAACATTCAAAGCCATTTAAAGCCAAGGTTAAAAGGTCCACTAAAGTCACCCACGCCACTACATCTGAATAGGTCTGTGGGAGGCAGAGAGGTAAAGAGCCTCGGCGAAGGAAGATGGCAAGTGAAAAGCTTTATTTTATTATAAAAATAATAATAGGGACTAAAGCATTTGGAAAATATTAGCGTTAGTGTTCCTTTAAAAACTCAAATAAATAAACAGCAGCTCTCATGTTTATTCTGTCCAGGAAAATGGAGAGAAACAGACCCTTGTTAATGATGCCATTCCAGACTCCTGATTACCAAACTGTGTCCCATCTGCTCCACACGGTATTACTGAGGTCTTAGCTAGTGTTTTATTGGTAAGAACATTTTATAGGATGGCAGTTCTGGAACAGATCAAAAGCAAGAATGCCATACACCCAAAGTTATTAAAAGAGCTTAGTGGTGCACTAGGAAAACCATTAACATACTTATTTAACCAATCATTGTTAACAGGAGCAGTTCCCGGAAGATTGGAAGTTAGCGAATGTTGTGCCCATTCACAAGAAAGGTAGTAGAGAGGAGTCAGGTAACTACAGGCCAGTAAGCCTTACTTCAGTAGTGGGGAAAGTGATGGAAACCATTTTAAAGGATAGGATTGATGAACATCTAAAAAAACATGGATTTCAAGATCAGAGACAACATGGGTTTACACTTCAGGGAGATCATGCCAAACTAATCTTATTGATTTGGTAACTAAAATAATAGATCAGGGTGGTGCAGTAGACATTGCTTACCTAGATTTCAGTAAGGCTTTTGACACTGCTACACATAGAAGGCTTATCAATAAACTGCAATCTTTAAGTTTGGATTCCAATATTGTTGAATGGGTAAGGCAGTGGCTGAGTGACAGGCAACAGAGGGTTGTAGCCAACGTAGTATATTTGAAGCAAGGTCTAGTTAACAGTGGGGTACCTCAGGGATCTGTACTTGGACCCATTCTCTTCAATGTTTTTATTAGTGATATTGCAGAAGGTCTCGATGGTAAGGTATGTCTTTTTGTTGATGATACTAAAATTTGCAACAGGGTTGATGTTCCAAGAGGGATAAGCCAAATGATTTAGATAAATTAGAAAAAATGGTCAGAGCTGTGGCAATTGACATTTAATGTGAATAAGTGCAAGATGGGTAAAAACCCAAGGACAGAGTATAGAATATTTGATACACTACTAACCTCAACATCTGAGGAAAGGGATTTAGGAGTAATTATTTCAGATGACAAAGGTAGGAAGACAATGTAATAGACCAGCAGGAAATGCTAGCAGAATGCATGGTTGTACAGGGAGAGGCATTAGCAGTAGAAAGAGGGAAGTGCTCATGCCATTGTACAGAACACTGGTGGAGTATTGTATGCAGTACTGGAGACCGTATCTCCAGAAGGATATTGATACCTTACAGAGAGTTCAGAGAAGGGCTACTAAACTGGTTCATGGATTGCCAGATAAAACTTACCAGGAAAGGTTAAAGGATCTTAACATGTATAGCGTTGAGGAAAGACGAGACAGGGGGGATATGATAGAAACATTTAAATACATAAAGGGAATCAACACAGTAAAGGAGGAGACTATATTTAAAAGAAGAAAAACTACCACAACAAGAGGACATAGTCTAAAAATAATATCAGGAAGTTTTACTTTATTGAGAGGGTAGTTGATGCATGGAATAATCTTCCAGCTAAAGTGGTAGAGGTTAACACAGTGAAGGGGTTTAAGCATTCGTGGGATAGGCATAAGGCTGTCCCAGACTGTTAATAAGGGACTAATTAAAAGTATTTAGAAAATTGGGCAGACTAGATGGGCTGAATGGTTCTTATCTGCCATTACATTCTGTGTTTCTATGAAAACATAGAAACATAGAATGTGACGGCAGATAAGAACCATTCGGCCCATCTAGTCTGCCCAATTTTCTAAATACTTTCATTATTCCTTGGCCTTATCTTATAGTTAGGATAGCCTTTTGCCTATCCCACAGCTATTACGTGCCTATTACACATGCATTTGCTTAATATTTCAATCACATTTATTTGATATACATATATAGCAGAGCATATATTAAGTTTTGTAGATTCTCAGTAGCTTTCTCTTTGCCCCCAAACTGTTTATACAAAAGTGTCGCAAAATAGCAACATGCAAATATTTCATGTTTCTATGATATCACATTGATTCTAAACAATATCAATCAATAACTAAATTAGAACATCACTTTGCAAGAAAATAGAAATGTATCTTGAGCTACATGAATCAATTACAGAGTTGATGGTGTATGCCCCTTTAACGTTTTCATGCCAAAATAAACACAGAAAAAAATGATTATTTACCTGCTAAGTCGTATCTAGCTGGACCCAGCCACCGATTCTTTTCACTGCATTTTAAAACATCACCATAAAAACCATAGCCCAACAGAGAGACCGTGTATTTCAGAAACCTCTTCTTTCGATGTACCGAGCATACATCCAAAGGCTGAGAATCCCCTAGAAAAAGAAAAATATATAGAATACACACACAGACTTTGTTAAAAAAAAAAACGAAAAAAAACCTGTACTTACCAAGTGGACAAAAACACACCATGGTGGTAAAAATAAATCTATAAAATCAAAATCTAAAAAAAGTATTTTTTGTTGTTTTTTTTTTAAAAATCACATATTTCTTTTTTAAATCTATTAATAATTTTATATTTAAAATGGGCACTTTGGGTACCAATACAACTTGAAGGCATTTTATAGATTTTGGTTTGATTAATATGCTGTGTTCTGCATGCTCAAATATTTATAGTTCTTGCATAACACAAAAAATAAAATGTTTTACAGCATGCTACACCGTAAGCCGGCCTTCTTAACCACACCCCCTCATTCCAGAAAGACTTCCTTATCAAAATGTATGTACACAGTCTCAGCCCAGACAGCACTGCGATAGCTGCATTTAATTCACAACCTGGCTGCAGACAGTCAGAGAAACTACAAACAGATAACAATATCCTTACTTTATGTCTCCCTGGGTGTCCTCTCCTTCTAATGCAGGTGTTTTCACTGTTCAGATCATTCAGTAATATAAGTAGCTGAGCTGTGTGCATAGTTTTTATAAGGAAGTCTATTTCCGATATAGGTGGGACATGACTAAACAGGCCATTTTATAGTGCAGCATGCTGTAAAACGGTACTGATATAACGTATAATGTATACATCATCTTAAAAGCACAAAAGAGAAAATGGTCCATTTTTTATTTTAAATAAATAAAGATCAGGGATACTTTTTTTTCCCCCAGATATACTACAAGTAAGGTATGGAGGCAATACTAGTGCATCCAATGTTATTACGAACAGCCTCATTTCATTACAGTCTATAAGAAACAATATACTTAGACGCATTACTAATTGCTGTGAGATGGCCAGCTCTGCAGTGCATACCTTGCACTGGTCCAGAGAGATCTTTATAGAGCAATGCTTGTATACATAGTAATACAACTCCAGCAGTTCCTTCAATTTAGATCCATATAATGCAATGCCAAATTAATTAAAAGGCTTTTCAGAATCCCCCCAAACCATGTTGACTATGATCTCACATTTCCAAACGGGAGGCGTAGCACAGACGCGATAATCAATCCATAGCTGGACATTTACGAATGCACAATTCTATGGATTCCCCATTTCAAACAAGTGCATATGGAATAGAACAGCCATTATTGTTAGCACTGAGTGGAAGATAACGGCAGCTGTACTGTGCATTAACAAGCAGCACATTAACTGGAAAACAATAATGTGCTATCCTTTATCTTAAAGGACCACTCTAAGCACCCAGACCACTTCAGCTTAATGAAGTGGTCTGGGTGCCAGGTCCCTCTAGGATTAACCCATTTTTTAATAAACATAGCAGTTTCAGAGAAACTGCTATGTTTATAAATGGGTTAATCCAGCCTCTAAAGCCTCTAGTGGCTGTCTCATTGACAGCCGCTAGAGGCGTTTGCGTGCTTCTCACAGTGAAAATCACAGTGAGAAGACGCAAGCGTCCATAGGAAAGCATTATGAATGCTTTCCTATGAGACTGGCTGAATGGCGCGCAGCTCCTGCCGCGAAGAGGAGGATCGGAGGCGGAGAGGAGGAGGAGAGCTCCCCGCCTGGCGCTGGAAAAAAAGGTAAGATTTAACCCCTTTCCTCTCCCCAGAGCCCGGCGGGAGGGGGCACCCTCAGGGCACTATAGTGCCAGGAAAACGAGTATGTTTTCCTGGCACTATAGTGGTCCTTTAATCATACAAACAAACAATAGTAAATGAATAACAACTCTTTCCTTCACGCTATGGATTTTATAGATATTCCTGCTAGGAAATAAGGAAAGAGAAATAAATAAAACACAGCATGCGGACATACCTAAAATGATGTGAAGAGCTGAAGTCACAGGGTCGTTAATACCAACAGTTGCAAAGCATACGCAATCTGTGGATCCTGGAAGAAAAACAAAATCCTGCTTTTTTTTCCCTACCGAGCACTCTGTGATTGGAAACTATTAGAATAGCATTTATTTGAAGCAAGGGACGCATGGCCAGCATATAAACATAGCAAGACACGGCATGTTTGTGTAATGATTGCAATATATAAATTAACATGATTATTTACAATATTTCACACAGGGTTTGAAATGTTTCTATATAGGCAAAAATGCAATTTAGCTCACATACAGTAGGTGTGACAAAAATCTATAAATAAATAAACGAACAACTTGTTTGAAAAGGGTATTTGTAAGGCCCCCTAAAGACATTCCGGGCTCTTCCTCTTCTCTACAATCCCTCTGTTGGTGTTCCCCACGATTCTGTCCTTGGATCCCCACGGTTCTCGTTCTACACTGCCTCCCTTGGCAAAAACATCAGCTCCTTTGGCTTCCTCCAAAATAATTTCTATGCAGACTTTAAGCACCATGACCTCTTCAAAGGGCTGAAGGGATTATGGTGCTTGGGAAAAACCTTTTAAGTATAGGTATTAAACGATTATTTAAACCCTGGAAAGAGACAGGTCCCCTTTAACATTTTACATGGCTAGTCAAAGGATTTTTTTTTAAAGGTTTGTTGTTGGTATTTTTTACATGCTCTAAATGCAACATATAAATCTAATACCATTAAGGCCCAAATAAGGGTTAAATGACTTATCTGGTGGGTGGGGGAACTCTTTAACTTATAAAATCACACGTTAGGTCACTGTAGGCAAACTGTTTGAAATGGTTGTCACAGTCCTCATTTCAGACGAAGCTAAATGTGTTTATCACGTGTAAAAATATGCAAAGCCACAAAGAAAACCCACTGTGAATGTTATAAAGGGGGAAACATCTCTCAACCAGTTTGTGGAATGTGAGAGAGGCACTTCCAGAACGGAACAAGATGGTCCCTGCCAAATTAAATCTCAGAATAAAGCCAACACTTGCTCTGTCTGCTCACAGATATTAGGATACTGAAGTTATGTATGGGCACAGCCTTTTAATAATGCTGACAATTTACTAAAGCGAGGTATTAAACAGAAATTATTGCCAAAATAACTAATTGAATTCTTAAAATCCCTCTGCAGACACCAAATCAAATGTGCCACCCTTTTAAAATGTACAGGGAGCTGTAGAGTTGCTGATATAAATGTGCAGGGGGCTCAAATTTCCCTTATAAACTAAATGTAAAAAAAGAGAGAAAGAAGACTTTCTATAGATTTTACTTCTTTATAGGAGATACCAAATCAAAGTGATTTCAGTGAATTCCGCTTCCCATTACTGAAACACAATGTACTTTTGTTAATGCGCTCAGGAAATTGGTGACTCTTAGTTATTCTCCTTTATCTTGTGTGAATGATCTGGAAATTTGCCTGGGTCCAGCTACGTTCAATCCAGTTTTACTAAGCTCAGAGTAAAAGCTGCAATGGATCAAAACGCTGTGAACCAGCAGCCTCATTCCTCTCGCTGCCCACATAAAAAGTTTAATGTGAAACCAAGGGCACAAACGCTTCTCAAGAAAGGATTAGTCTCTGCAGTTCGTAAGGAGAAAAAAAAAAAATGGCGCTTCAATAGAACTATACGCCGGAGCCAAGACGTCAGATAAATCTTACGGTTTGACATATTGCTAATAAAATCCCTGCCTTACAGAGCACTTGGATTTCAAGGTATTTATTATGGTTTGAGTGTGTTGCAATAAGTCATGGAAAGAAACGGAGCTATGTATAATGGCGAGGGGGCGGGAAGGACAAATATTAAACAATGCTTTGGAAACGTCTACAGAAACACACCAAATACTGGAAAAAAGAAGGACTGCTAAAAAAGAACTCCATTATTCTAGACATAAGTAGAACACACATTAATTGTAACTAATTAATTACCAGGCCTTAACACGAGGATGCAACCGTAAACTAAAGTATCCAAATGTGTTTTATTGCAGCCTGGGGCCCGACATTAAACTTACACAGACCTCTCAGTCCAGAGGATTAGATTAAAACCACCTTAAGGACAATTTCCGTCATGATTCCCTTTAATTTCTGAAGTTGTGCCCTTAAGGGGTTAAATTGTGTATACATGGAAGAAAAATAAAAAAAACAATACAAGGATTATGTCACCATAATTATTTTAAAGACAAAATTGCTCCTCCCCTAGCACCCATCAGTTGCTCTAACTAATGCAAGGCTGTCCGTTTTATCAGGTTATCAGTTCTGTAGACACAGGATCCCTGAACGAATACCCAAAGCCTTTCGTCTCTCGCCAGCATTATATCAAAGTGATTCCTTATCGAGAAGACGCTTTCTTGGAATGCTGTCCACTGCATATAACAAAGGGGTTACAGGAAAAGTACTGAGAATGCAGACAGACAGACATGTAGTAACGGCCAGCGGGAGGGTGTGTATGTATATGGCATATAGTTGCAGTTATGATGAATTGGGTCAAAAACGCTTCTTGCACTTCTGCCGATTATGCAGAACAGAGGACATGTTGCCATGGGATTTGTATGGTGGCTGAATTAAGTATCTAACATTGAATTATGACCAGTTATTCTATCATTCTGGACATCGACCAAAACTCAATCCTGTTAAAAGTGAGTGTCTGCTTACTTTCTACTTAAAATATACAAGCACAATGAAAGCTGGCTTTCTAAAACCACAGACCGATAACTGAAAAACCAACACTCCCGGCTCTTCACTAAACTCTGAAATTCCACAAATACAAATGGCAAAAACAGAGACACACAGTGACTGTAGCATAGTTGGGGAGGTTTCCAGATCAGCTCTTTTTTGACTCAGTTTTTCAATTGGTATTTATTTCATGAAAGCATGGGGTTTAGTAAATAATACTGAGTGTTACAAGTAGCAATGCCAGAAGATTGTAAAAACTGCCATCCAACTGTTCTCAATCATGTTGCAGAACCATTGCTCCCAAAAAAGTCTACAAAAATACTAACAAATACTGAATATGAACGTAATGCATGTAATGACTTACCGGCAGGGATAATGCCAATTCTTATTGCACACGGAGATAGATTTGCTTCGGGATTGTCGTGGTCGATATCCTTATCTTTTTGCACTCTGCCTATAAGTCCGTGCAGAACCTCGCTGAACATCCCATCTCCACCAACACACACAATCCTACCAACAAAACACAAACACGTGTTCATTCTAACAATCACAGACCTAAAAAAAACATTTAGAAGACGAAGTTTGGCTGAAATATAGAAATGATTCAAGATAAATCTAGAACATTTTAAAAGCATTTTGATATTGTAATAGAGGCAGCTTTAAGAATGATCAAATTAAGATTGGTAAGTAATGGCCACTTATAAATGTCTAAGTGAAGCAACACAAAGACACAAAACAGAGTGTACAATAGGAAGCGAGAGATCATTGACAACTTATAATCAATCTGATAGGTTCACTTTGTAACATATAAAGCAAATATGTAATTTATCATAGAGATGATTGATACAATTCTCTGCTTTGGGAGGGGTGATGTAACTTGCTCCAGATCTACGATTGCCAGAGGATCCATGGGTGTTAATCTGTCTAAATTATGAATGTCCATGTTTAGGATACTTACCAAGCAATCCTAACTGATGTGATGGGATTTACTGCTAGCACAACAGCATCAGAACACTGTGTACTCCCCTCCTGCTAGTGTGGGGGAGTAATACAGCAGAGAACCACTTTTGGGAGTGATCCTTTGCTCACCTGTCACTTAGGCCACAGCTTAGACCTTCTGTGCCACTAAAGTACAGGACTTATTTCAAGGATTGATTGACAGGTGGGAGATGGATCATTCTTTAAAAGGCATTACATTTAAATATAAACATAAGCTAGCATTTCTGCCTGACGTTAGGAGTATAATGACAAGTACACTTTAACTACTACAAGAAGAATAAACCTGTGAACTATATTTAAGCCAAAAGAGTCAGGTAAAAGAAGATTTCTAAATGACCTAAAATGTGTAATTCTTGTGTCAATTCTCCACAATTACTACACTTTAAACAAAGTATTTCTTATTTTTTGTTTTTTTGTGTTACTAAACAGATACATGCGGTATGTGGCACATTGAAAAGCTAAACATTAGTTTCAGAATCTGCCAATTCACAAACGTTGACTAATGAAAAGGTACGCCGTACACTACAAAGAGACAACTTCTTTAGTAAAAGTTTACAGAGAATGTATAAAGTTTTTTGGAAAGAGAGACATTTATTGAACCAATAGGACCGCTCATTCTAGATCAAAATCACAGGTTTAAAAAAAAGGAAAAGGATGAATGAAGAATGACATGAAATGCAGCTTTAATTGCAAACAGCACAATCTAATAAAAACAGAGAGGGAAAAAAGGATATTTAAAAAAAAAAAGGGGGGGGAATAGAGCAGGGTGAAATGCAGAGAAAAATAGGACAAACAAGAAAAATTAAAGCAGAACTAGACTGGGACAAACATACACTGACATGTATATCTGAAATGGGTTATGTTCCTCGCTTTTTACATCTTGTTTAAAATAAATAAATAAAATGTGCCCTATCCTTGTACTCACCCATCGTATTTTTCCAGATTTACTTCGTAAAGGTCATCCCTAGCATGATTTGCAAATTCTGTCACTGCAAGAAAAGGACATTGGTAATTGTAACACACTGAAAAAGTATGTTTCCAACTGGCTCCAGTTCGGCAAATAATTAGTTTACTGAAATATACTTTTTTTTTTTTTACATTGTCTGCTTCTTTTGCTGCTACGACTCAAGAAACAAAAAAAATATACATGTATTTAATTATTCATAACATAAGCCTCTGCATCTTAGCTTACAACCATTAATATACATAAAGCAAATCTTGTTTTATTGCAAAGCGACGATTTTTTTCAGAGAAGGTAAACTGAATGCACTTTAAAGGGGCACTGTCATGCCGAATCCTGTTTTGTTTTTTTTTATCCCCCCTCCGGCCTCCACTATCTCTAATTGACCCCCTAGTCACCCCCAAATGCCCCTAAGCCCCCCAAATTACCTATTTTTTTAATCTTTATTTTCTGCCCCGATCTTGATTCAGGGCGCCGCCATCTTTGTGTGGGTAGATGAAGTCCCTGTGGGACACGTCATCTGCCCACACTAGATAGCACTGAGATTCCCGCACATGCCCAGTGAAACACTTGGGCATGCGAACGGGAATTTCATCTATTCATTCATCAGACAGACGAATGAATGAATAGAAATATCAGCCGAACAAAAACACTGTGTATCAGTCTTCATTTGTTCGCTCAGTTTATTACAAGGAGGGAGCTACCGGCACGCAGCTCCCTCCTTGTAATATGTAAAGACAGAAGCGGCAGGGAGCAGTGCTCCCCGCCACTTCCTAAGCCCCCCAGGTCCCCCCTCACTCTATGGGGGGTCAGTATGACCCCCATAATAGCATAAGGGAGATTAAAATCTCCCCAATGCCTGTGGCTGCTCACTGTAAAATCAAAAAAATTTGGCGACGGGTAGGGGCCCTAAGGTAAAATAAGGGGGGAGGACCTACTGCGCCCCCCCAAGTCCCCACCCCTGGGCGGAGCGTGGGGGCCATAATGATAATGGGGAGGGGGGACACACCTACTGCCCCCCCCGGCCCCCACCCCTGGGCGGCAGTTGGGGGCCATAATGATAATGAGGGGGGAGGGACCTACTGTCCTCCCCCCCCGCCCAGCCCCCACCCAGGGCGGCGGCCATAATTATAATGGGGGGGGGGAACCTACTGTCCACCACCCCTCAAACCCCCACCCCTGGGCGGCGGGTGGGGCCAAAAAGATAATGGGGGCCTACTGTCCTCCCCCCCACCACTGGGGTGGGGGCCAAATGATGAGGGGGGGGACCTACTGTTCCCCCCCCTCAGCCCTAAATCAATTCTCCCCATACCCCAAGGTGACTAGGGGTCCCTAAACCCCTAGTCACGCACCCAAATAAAAAGTCCCTACCTACCCCCCTCACCCTAAAAAATAGTGAGGGGGGAATAAAATAACTAACCTGTAAAATAAAATTAAACTTACCATTCGACGTCTTCTTTTTCTCAAATCTTCATTTTTCAGCCCCAAAAAAGGCCAAATAAAAAACCATCATAACCGAACGTAAAATAAAATAAAAACCCTCAGCGCAAAAAAAAAATTTTACGTTTCATTCATTCGAGTGAAATTCCGATACGAATAAAGTGCTGAATTGCGTTCTAAAAGAAACGAACATACAGTTCTCATTCAGTTATAACTCAATTCGGCAGTTTAGTGTAAAATGACAGGAAGCATCGCGGGAACACAGAGGAAAGGTAAGGATCATGGGAAAATTGCTCTGACCAGCGGAAATGAAGCACACTTTGCTCCTCCGCTGGTCAGAGCTGGTCAAGCGGAGGAAACCTCCATAAGGCAAAGAGTCCCTACTTTGTCTTATGATTTTAAAGAAAACTAAAGAAGACAGGAAGAAAAGAAGAACAGATCCTGAGAGAGGGAGAGAAGAGGAAGAGATTGAGGAAAGGTACGTTCGGCATGACAGTGCCGCTTTAAGTGGGAGATAATGTTTCAAATCCAGCATGAAAATCTTCCATCTGATAATTTTCCTGTTTAACAACTCGCAAAATTATTGCTTTAATACCAGACAAAACAAGTTTTAAATCCAAAAAAAAATGTAAGAACTATAAAAATGTTTCCTTTCACAATGCTTATTCCATGGTCTGTTGATGGCAGCTCTAGAGATGAAAAGAGGCCTGCATGTTTGGAGAGAATGCATAGAGTTTCACAATGACAATGTTACATTTACTCTAAGGTTCGGCCTCCTTGCCACCCTGTCCTTCAAGAACACAAATAAATGGGGGTGAATAATAAAAATATATCAGAAACACAACAATAACGATAAGAAACAAGTGCCAATTGATTTAAAGCAGGTAAAATAAAATTTAGAAGAAAAAAAATTCCCACTGTATTTGCAGATTATTTCAGATATTCCTGCAGCCATACGGATAAAAATAAATACTGACTTTAGGCAATTCATCTGTCAGTACATCATTAATAATGACAACTACAGAATGGGCCATTTCTAGGAAAGGAGGCGAGCCTGTATTAAGATGCTAGGGTGCAGTCACCAACAGGATTATAACTGGAGCTATAAAATAAAAAAAGAACACTAACACCCACACAAAGCGTGAGAGAGAGACAATTTTTTAAAAAGCTGATGCAGAATGAAACCTTCAAGGGACTCTATAGTCACCACAACAACTACAGCTTAATGTAGCTGTTCTGGTGAGTATAATCACTGCCTTCAGGCATTTTCATGCAAACACTGCCTTTTCAGAGAAAAGGCAGCGTTTACATTGCCCCTAGGGACACCTCCAATTGGCCACTCCTTAGATGGCCACTGGAGGTGCTTCCTGGCTCAGTGCTGTACAGAAGGCAGAACTGCCATTCAGCATCTCCACGCTCTGCATGGGGACGCAGAATTTTCCTCATTCAATGCATCTCTATGAAGAAGTGCTGATTGGTCAAAACGGCGTTTGGCCCGCCTTATTTCCCTATGGGAAAGCATTGGATTGGCTAAAAATCGGAAATTCTGATGGTCACCAAGGAGGCGGACGGGGGCGGGGCTAGCGCGGCGCTGGAAAGAAGGGGAGTTTTAATTCATTTTAAGGGGTGCATGCCACCTACATGGTGGGTGGTAACACTATAGGGTCAGGGATACATGTTTGTGTTCCTGACCCTATAGTGTTCCTTTAAACACAGATCATTTGTGTATATCTCTATCTACAGATCTATTTAACTCATGGGTAGAAAACAGTTTGTTTTAATGCAGGATTCTAAACACCAATCATTATTTGCTACAGTGTAAAATAAAAACACACATTTTCACCTAGGCACCCCAGGTGGTCTCCAGTTTATTTTGTAGTGGAGACATTAGCTACTCATACATTTCTGTAAGTCGCAGTGACTGCAAGGCTGCAACATGTAGTGTTTCATTATTAAAAATTCCCAGGATTCTTAAATTAATCTTTGCTTCTATACAAGAATGAAAGTCATTTCTAAACAGGTGTGATAAATGTAAAGAAGGGGAGGGGTAGACAGAATATGCATCCAAAATTACATTTTTAAATGTGAATTCCATTAAGACAAGAAATTGGAAGGGAATATATGAGCATTTGCTTTTATTATTTTTACATACCAATAACGTCTGTAGAGATGCCTGCAAGGTTGAATAATGGAGCCACTTTCTTTTCATATATTTGCTTTCCTTTTTTCTTTCCTCCATACGGGTTTATATAAATTAATAAGTGCTTTGGTCTACATGCTGCAGAAAGAACAAACAAACTAAAAATATCAGTAAACCGTAAATCGGTGCTTTTGATGGTTCTGGCATGTCAGGGAACGTTTGATTGATTAAACCGGCCAACACGGTACGATCACAGGTTTCACTATATAGCAGTGAGCACTGGATTGGACTGACTGCACTTTGTGTCTGAGCATCTAATCGCTATAACAGCAAATTACGTTGTGTAATGCTCAAAAAAACAGATCTCCTTATACAGCCAGCCATCGTTGTTCTCAAACACACATGTCCTGTGTGGTCCCCTTTCAAAAACACCACCATGAAGGGACACTTTAAGCACCATAACTTATACCGTGCGCTTTAGTGGTTATGGTGCCATGAATTCCCAAACGCTGTCGCACGTTAAGCTGGCAAATAGGCTGACACTGTGCTCTGCCAGGTGCGCTTATTCCAGATTGAACCGATATGCTAGATGAAAAATTTAGCCATTTCAATTTTGTGCAACTGCAGACCTTATTCATTTGGGGAGAGGTTCAGTTGACAAACTCACTCAATTAACGATGTCCATATTTGCGCACACACCACAGAAAATAAACAAATTAAATAAAAACACAAACCTGTAACACAACAGGAGTTAAACACTTCTAAAGTAAATACATTGTGCTGTTAGATTTTATTGAAAATTAAGCTACTTTTTCAGGCAGGTTGTGTAAGTCCCAGGCAGGGAGGTGTGGCTAAATGGCAGAGAATTAAACCGTGAGACTGCAGGGACATGATCTACCAAAACTACTTCACTAAGCTAAACTTGTTTTGGTGCTTGGAGTATCCCTTTAAATTGTTTGACAAGTTACAATGGGATGGAGTCAAGGGACACCTGACACCATAACTAAAGATTGCCATAGTGGTTATGGTGCTTAGAGTATCCGTTTAACACAATTATAAACTCTGTATACCAGATGATATTCTTATTGCTTAGAAATTGCGTGGGGTTACCCGAGTTATGGATATTATCAAAGTAATAAGTGATGAGCAGTATTGGTATTAGAACTGACCAGACACCTTCTACAATCTGTCAGTATGCTTTGTGTTACATTTAACAGAACTTTACACAGCCCCCCTACCCTCCCCAATACCTTTTCTACACACTCAAATAACTAATGACCCTTTCTCCCCTGTCCCCCCAGGTTTAAGAAGACAGATTTATATCAAACGTGCAATACTTTTTTTTTGCTGTCCAATACTTCCCAGTTTTAAATAAATCAAAACATATCAAAAAAGAAAAAAAGCACAGCGATGTAAAACACATAAAGTGCTCAGATTTGCTCTTTTTCCTGCCTTCAAGGTGAACTTTATCTACGTAGGATTCCCCTTACCAGTCTCCTTCAATGCTGGATATACGGACATTAACCTTAGATTTCCAATGTTACCCCATATCAATGCACATCACTAGGAATTTTACTCCAGTCAAAAACGTTGTGCCCCCTCAATGGCCTCTAAGAGGAAATGGTGGCCCTTACGCCATAGATTTGTTATCATTACTCTAACTTACTGGCAGTGATGCGCTTCTAGAAGAGTAATTCATGCCTTGTATGTGGACAGGACAAATATTGGCAGAGGGAAAACAGACAGTTTTGTCTTAGCAAGACTGCAAATTAAAGGAAAAAATGTACTCACTTTGATGATCAAGTAGATCGTTAAGTGCTTTTAGCCAATGGCAACAAAGAACTTCATCACTGCACCAAAACGTTACAGCCTTGCACCGCCAGCGGTGGTTCTTCACCCTTTGTACATAATTAACTAGACGGAAAACACATAATTCACATTAATTAGGACTCAGTACACAATTAATAGAAAACACAAGCAAGACAAGAGGGGAAGGAGCACTTAATATCATGCAGAAATATTCCATTTATTTTCATATTGCTTAACTTGAGTCATTTCCCTCCAGGCACAGCTGGGATAGAATAAGCTGTACATGCTGAGTGTACCTGTAAAAGCGTGCGGTTTGCACATGTGCTCCCATTTCATACTGTGGTGGTACGTCTCATCAATCTCGGCTTCTCCTACCGAAACAATCTCCGACACAGGGATGGAATGGCCACCTGCATCCAGAGAAAGGAAAAATGAAGCAAAAAAAAAAAAAAACAGATGTCCTTTGTGGTGACATTGACAAACAGCAAAGACTAAGCACGTGTAATTGTAGGAACGCCAGCCTAGCAATGCATGAAGATCGGATATGGCTGTCAAAGTGCTCAGCAGCTTGCGAGTATTCAAAAAGATGAAATTATTCATGCACACAATTACTTAACCCTTCAAATGCCAGAAAAGTGCAGAACCATTTAACTGCACTCACACCTCTCATACACTAAAGATTTAGAATCTATACTGGAACTTTCAGAATGCTCAGAATCTATGATAATTATGGCCAACAGTGGCAATCTGGACTGCACTTACCATAATGTTCATCACAGGCTTAAGGCATTCACTTCCTCCTTATCTAGCCAAAAATGTTTTAACGTGTTAGCAATGAAGAGAGCTAAATCAATGTCAACCCCTTCAGTGCTGGTAACTTGAGCTTTTGTCAAGGAAGCTGTTTAAAGGGACACTTTTTTTACATGTATTCCTTACACTATAGTGCTGGAGTGGCTGTTTAGGCTACTGGCCCTATCAGATTTCACTGAAAAGATTTTAAACTGACATTTTCTCCCTCGCCGTGCCGGTCTCGTAGCGGCTGGCCCCGCATCCATGGTGGAGGTCATCAATCTTGAAGATCTCAGCGAATCCAATGCTTCCTCATAGGAAAACATTGGTGGGCTATTGTGCATGCACAGCAAAACGTCACGCTGCACAATCAGAATCTCTTAATAGATGTGCATTGAATCATTGCATCTCTAAGGGGACTTTTCAATGTTTCCATGTGGAGAGGGGAGATACTAAACGTAGGTGATGCACAGTGTGCAGCACGGTGATAGGTAGCACATCTAGTGGCCATCTTAGTTACTGCCACTAGAGGCAGTAACCATGTCAGGGACCATGCAATAGACACCAAAACAACTATATTAAGCTGTAGTGGTTCTGGTGAATCTAGTGCCCCTTTAAACAAACCCTGTTTCTTTTAAAGGAACACTCCAAGCACTATAATCACTTCATTGTACTGTAGTCACTTTGGACACTCTTTGAGCAGTTGTGGAGGCAGGGTTTGGCACCCAGCAGACCCCAGGTAAGAAGGTAAGGCTTTCTAAAGTGGTTTGGATCCGTACAATGGAGTGGTACCAGGGCACTCAGTGGTTATGGTGTTTGGAGTCTTCCTTTAAAAGGTCACTTTATGGTAGACGAATGCCATTGTGACGCTCCCATATCTTTCTATGGAATGGCGGGGTTTCTGCCAGAAATCTCTTAATACTGTAGTTTTGACAGAAAGAGGGAACATTTTAATTAATAAATAGGAGCTATTTCACCCTATACTTGATCTCAGTGCTGTGCTCTGCATGAAAGTACAACACAGACATGGGCTCCGAGGAACGTGAAATGCCAATAGCTGAAGTAGAAAAGCTTAAAAAGATCACTTTGCGCAACGAATTGTAAACTAATTTACACAACTCAAGCGACCCTTTAAAGAGTAATTGTCAATAGTTTTGAAATTTGAAAGAAAACATTTTAAATCATCAATCAAAATTGGGATGGCGCTTGCTAAATATTTTATAGCATAACATAGGTTATGCTATAAAATATTTAGCAAGCGCCATCCCAATTTAGTTTAGTATGGCATAGCCAGGGCACATTTTGCAAATGAGAGGATTGCATCTGTTTCTTTAACTCTCTCTCCATGTTATCAGCCAGGTGCAAAGGATAGAGTTTGTAATAATTGGCCAAGGCGGAGATGTTCAGGTTTTGATTTCTCTAATCACAGGGGTTTTTTTGGGGGGGTTTTTTCAGACCTCACCGAGCTATATTTTTTTAAAAATAATAAGCAAACATACTATCGGACATTCTTGGAAGTTAAGGTGTCCCATTAAAAGTAACTGGAATTTTATTTTATTTTTTTTAAATAAATATATACATATTGAGATATACAAAAATAGCTTCGGCCTATTTACAGCAGGTGGCACAAAAAATAATCGCTTTAATTGAGCACCAGAGAAATCCTGCAGACTTCACAGAAAGTCAAGTCCACCCAATGCTGTTTAATGATCTGCTGCTGCAACTGTATGATCACGTTCAAGTCTTAATTTTATGGAATAAAACATTTTCTGCATAATTAGGTTGCAGGGATTCTGGCCTGGACCAAGTTGTTTGGCTTTAAAAAGCTTCACAGAAATTGTCTGCAGGAAATTAACTTTTGAATGAATGATACCAGTTTACTTCCAGATTAACAAACTAGACAGCTGCTTATTTAAAAAGCTTTAATGGTGGCAAAGCATCATGGGATTTGTAGTTCATCAACAGCTGATAAACTAGCGTTTGGCAACCTCTGCTCTACACCATTTAATGGACATACGTACATAGAGATCAATGTGTTATTTTCTATATTTTCAGCACTACAGAATTTGCTGGCGCTATATATAATAAAATAAATAAGTAAAAAAATATATATTTGAAAATGTGTTCTGTTTCTATAGGAATTTTTATTTTTTATTTATTTTTTTTAAATGTGAATTCAACACATATTAGTGATTCACTATTTGTCTGCATTGTCAGACAAATGTGCTTGGCATATGGGGGTCAATATGACCCCCTATTTAATATACTATTTAAATCCTCTTTCCTGCCATTACTCACCATGCCTCAAGTAGGGGCATGTCTCCTAAACAGTGATCATTCAGTGGCTGTTCACGGTCAAAAAGACTAGCGACTGGGCAGCTATTGCTGACCAATGATTAATCCAATAATGAGGGACCTGGCACATGGTGGGCTTTTAAATTAAAAACGGGGGATACAGCGTCCACCATCCCGTTCACATTAGGATTGGGTTTAGGGACTTGTTTTTATTTAGTGATATTTCACATTAGGTAAAATAACTTTCCTAACCCTAATTTGAACCCTAACATTAACCCTAAATGTCCCATGCTTACTGAATGCACTAACTATAATGAAAGTGTAAAACTAGTTTTACTTACCTTCCAGGACCTTGCTGTGGAGGAGTAGCAGAAGTGCTAGCACGCATGTGCAGCACAGGATCCAACTGATTTCCCTCACCGGAAGTGACGAAGGTAGGGGATTTTCACGGGGTAGGGGATTTTGATGGAACACCTGCTCTCTAAAGTGAACTTTAGTAATACACAGAATGCTTCTGTGGGGTCTAGCAAGCTATCAACAGTGCAGGGGATAATACATTTTAAATTAAATAGAATTTGTAATGAAGGAAGTGTAAACATTAGCTGACTCTTTACAGGAAGTGTTTAGGAAGGCTGTGCAAGTCAACTGCATAGAGGTGTGACTAGGGTGCATAAATATAGTGATTTAACTCCTAAATGGCAGAGAATTGAGCATTAACACTGCAGGGAAATAATATATACACCAAAACTGCTTCAATAAGCTAAAGTTGTTTTGGTGACTATAGTGTCCCTTAAATGAAGTGTTTTGTGTGCAGTGATCACGTCAGGTTAACCCTGCAATGTAAAACACGGCCGTTTTTTAGAAACCATAATGTTTACATTTCAGGATTAAATCCATCATACTGACAGCCACTAGATGCATTTCGGCAGCACTGACCGAGTAAAACTTGGTCACGTGAGGACGCTATTCACAGAAAAGCATTGTATTCAATACTTCCTATGAGAAGCATTTGGATGCAAGCGTTGCACGTGCATCATTTTCATTTTGGCAAGCAGCCAATCAGCTCAAGACGCGGATGACGTCGCAAGTGGAGGCGCGGACGGGAGCAGTGAGGGAATACTGGCGCTGGAGAAAAGGTCAGGTTAATATATATATATATATTTTAACTGGAAACAGGGGTGTACCTAAAAGTAACCTGGCAGTAAAACACTATAGCATTAGGAATACAGGTCAATATTCCTCACACAATCGTGTGAAAGCCAACAAGTAAAATATCCTTCACAGAAAAACAACGTATTTAATACCTGATGGTAGTTGTCGACTGAGGCTGTCTGTTAGTCCTCTCGCCCGCTGGAGAACCCTTGTCAAGCAGACACCTGGAGGAAAAAAGGACACATTTTGCATTTATAAAAAGTCTCTTATTTATCTATTTACCAATTAAGGTACTGTATGTGTATTAAAAAATAAATCAATCACGCAATGCAAAGTGTAATCAGATACCAATGAGCAGTCCTACACAATACTGTATGGTTAAAGGAAATTTGTGTTACTTAGACATGTGTTCTAGCCAAGATATAGGTACATTTAGAACATTGTATTGATCGAGGCCCATATTATCAATACACACACTATACATGTAATTAAAGAAGCCAAAAAGTAATGTCACAGCTGCCCTCTCTACTGAAACATAGATTAGTTACCGATTGCTGGTGATGAATGCCACTTAACTATTAATTGTGAAAAGGTCCTCAGAAAAAAAGCAGACATATCTCACTTCTCTTAATTTAATTATGGTATCCAATATATAAACAGGCAAAATTTTATATTGAAGAAAAAAAAAAAAAAAGTTATTACAAAATAAATATAAAAGAAGAGGTGCTAAAAACACAGCAAACTTGCAGTTGCTGCCAGGAAGCACAATTCTCACTAATCTCAGGCAGACCACAATATGTATGTTCCGCAGAAGCTATACTAGCATTGAGAGGGATTTAATTTAAAGCTGCACAGTCAACCCTCCCCCCCAGCCCCAATTGGGTATTTTATAAAAAATAAAATTTATGAATTACTCATACTGACTGTGTTGGAATTTCACCGAGATATATACTAAGACAAAGTAGGAAGTACATCTGATACTTCTAGACACAGGGTGGAGTTATCGCCATCTAGAAGTGTCAGTCTGCCAGCTGTCACCAGTGACAGCTGCAGAGATATTAGCTGTGTCTACGGAGACCTCCATAGATTTCAACGCTGTAGTCTCATGTATGTGCGTGAGTACAGCGCTGGCGTTGGATCATGGCGTTTCCGCAGAGGACCGCCCGGATGAAGATGGCAGCAACGACAAGAGACAAGCTCGGGTAAGAAAATCTCACCTTTCCACACCCTCCCTCCCCGACTACCAAAGGAAATGTCACAGTCAGGGGTCTTTGCAAATCATTCGAAGTCCCCAGGCGGTGATAGTGCTGCTTTAGACAGACTAGACAGGCACTGAGAGCTAAATTGTGCACACAGAAGAATAAAGTTAAATCTCTTGTTTCTGTTTATGCAGCCCTAGCCACACCTCCATGACTGTGACTCACTGTCTAAATCAGGGGTAGTCAACCTTTTAATACCTACCGACAACTTTTGTATCTTTGTTGATGGTAAAATTTCCTTACCGCCTACCAGTGCCGAAGTCACTAATTTTATAGCGCAAGTGCGATTTTTGGGGTTTTTTTCCCAAAGAAAGGAGGGTTTTTAAAAAAATAAAAATTAACCAAATATGTACTTAAATGTATCTATATTTTTTCCCTTTTTTTCTGTGTCTGTCTGTGAGGTGCTGGGAGTGCGCGCATGTTTGTGTGTGTGCGCGCGCGGGGCAGTCTGCGAGAGAGAGAGAGAGAGAGAGAGAGAGAGAAAGAAAAAGAGAGAGAAGGGTGCATGGGGCCTGTGCTGTGTGTAAGTGGGTGAGATGTGCAGCAGTGGCATGTTCACTTTAAAAACAATAATAAAAGGCTGCGCCAATAAGAGAGTAAAATAGAGTGACTAAGAAAAAATGTCCAACGTAATAAATAAAAATAAAAATAGAAATAAAAGTTCAACTTAAGTGTCCTTGCAGATAGTCTTTATAGTAAGTATTGCAGCAGTGAAGTCTTCATAAGCTGTATAGGTTCCACTCATATAAAAGACAAAAGGGGAGAGAGAAGGACGACCAGTAGTGCAATATTGTATAATTCCAAAAGTGACGTATGGAAAAATAATATTAAAGAACTCACATTTAATAAACATTACCTGGCTGTTTGCTATTCCATTTGATAAAGTCTGTTGACGAAACGCGTTATGGATATTTTATATTGTGTATTGTAATATTAAAGCAATTTTTGGTAATTTGTGCCAACTATTCTTTTTTATAGTTTTATATACACATTACTCTTTTTATACCTGGCTTTTTAGTATATTTTAGTATATTTTTAGCATTTTACTATTATATACCAACACTGACTTCGGAAGTCTCCTGCACTCCAAGAAATCCTAAAGGTGGGGATTAATCCACCTATGCTGATACACAAGAGCAGTTGGTCTGCTCCTCATTTGTAAGTACGTTTTCATCTACTTAAAATAAGACTACTAAAATAGTGAGCACTATTTGTTGTCTCTCTCTTTCCTTGTTTGAGAATTGGACACCACTGACGGAGAGTAACCCACAGCATATCCCACAAGCGGGGATTATACCGCTGTATGCGCTTCTATCCTAGAGCTGGACATAAGCTCTATTAAATGTGAGTTCTTTAATATTATTTTTCCATACGTCACTTTTGGAATTATACAATATTGCACTACTGGTCGTCGTTCTCTCTCCCCTTTTGTCTTTTATATGAGTGGAACCTATACAGCTTATGAAGACTTCACTGCTGCAATACTTACTATAAAGACTATCCGCTAGGACACTTAAGTTGAACTTTTATTTCTATTTTTATTTTTATTTATTACGTTGGACATTTTTTCTTAGTCACTCTATTTTACTCTCTTATTGGCGCAGCCTTTTATTATTGTTTTTACTGTTTTGTTTTAAAAGGGCTTGGAGGGTTTCCCTTTTTAAGGTTGCTGCCTGTTTATTAATTAGCGCTGTCTCTCCTTCCCATATACTCCTTACCGCATGTTCACTTTAGCCTGCGGCTACAGGCTGACTCTCCGGTACTCCTGCAAGCACAACACTGTATAGGAGTGTTGCCATGGTAACACGCAGCAACGCTATGACCAGCCTAATCGTGGAAGGAACAGAGCCTCCCAGGCTCTTCCCTCCCTCTGCTGGAAACAAGTGCCAGCGGGCCGGTGAAGGAAATCTTAGATCTCCCCTGCCCACCTTGGCTCACGACCATCGAGGCTCACAGGGCATTTTTTCGCAGAACCCACCATCGCCCCACCTGAAATCCCAAAGTGCCCACTAGTGGGCAGTAGGGACCAGGTTGACAACCCCTCATCTAAATGAAAAGAATGGTTTCATTTTCAATCAGATGTTGACTTGCTTTATAAGTTTTTTTTCTCCAGTATTGTAAATTGATTGTTAACCCCTTAAGGACAGAGGCAATTGTACAAGTTCTGAACCTTGCTGTGTCACATGATTTTGATCGTCAGAATTGGTTGCATGGGAACTTCCTCGTTTGTCATGTAGTCCCTCTGAGCAAATCTGGCAGGAAGAATATTTGGCCTGCTGGGAGAGCCCGTGTTTTAGGGTGTGCTATGCCGCCCAAGTGGTGCTGAAGACCTCCTTTTGTAGGACAGCAGAGCACAATCCTTTAAGCAGTACGTATTGCAGTTCGCATGCTTATCTCCCATGCTAAAATTAGTGCAGGGCCCACCAATATTGGAGTACTATGATGTAGTAGTGGGCTTAACACAATATGGCCATGTAGTATAACTAAATCCCATATTTTGTATTTGCCAAGATAGTGGTTGAATGCTTCTGCAAATAAATAAATAGATGAATTGATTCAGTAATCTAGGAAATATGGGGGAATTTGACATGACTGGGCAAAGTGGCCAAGTTGAAAGAATATTTCTAATGGAGTTTATATGCATGGTTAAAGAGAATCCATGCCATCTGTTTGCTACTGTACAATATCAGATAAACAGCATTCCTGGTTTACTTCAGTTATTCTGCCCTCTCTTCAGGATGAATTAACTCATTGACTACATTTAGTTCTCAAAGAAACAGACAATTAACTGTACAGACACATGTAACTCATGCATGAATTAATGTTTGCTAGAGGCACAGAATAACCTCGAACGCCATCGCTTAGCCCACAGCCTCAAGATGCAAACAAAGACTTGCTTTCAAATTACCACGCAGAAGAGTATGACGGAGAGACAAGCTGTAAATATTTATATTGAACTAAAACAAGGATGTGCGACATACCGCGTCACTCGGAAAAACAAACAGAATGTAATGTTTGAACGAATGGGAGACTCATTGAAGAAATTGTCAGGATATATTTGTCTAAATTTCCCCAAATATAAAGGGTGATTAAAGCAATATACGTAATTCGTTTTGATTTTGAAAAATGCAAACGTACAAAAACACAAAACAAATTTGGTTTCAAGAGGCTGCCATCTTATCTTTGCCTCCAAATTATGTGAAGTTTGCTTTAAAGTGGCTGTCCTGGTGTTTTGGCATTGTGGGGTCATTAGTATTCCTGTGGCTTGGCGCTGGCAATGCCCAGAAATTCTGGGCAAGACAATTATGCAGTGGGGGTTGTTTTACTATAGTAACCTGACAGATACACAGCCATGTTAAAGTGACGGTGGCGGCTGGTATAGTCTTAGAAAGGCTTTGGACAGTCACATTTAATCACTTAGCTTTCATTCACATTGGGCCAAGATTTATATAAAATGAGAGTATAAATTGTAAGCTATGATACTTTCTAGAAATATGGCTACCACAATTTATAACATCATATCAACTAACTGGAGTCAAGAAGGACGTTTCCCCGTTTTTGTGACATAAATGGATTAAAAGCATAAAGGATTGGGTTTCAACCTAGACTACTATGTAACTCTGCAGTGTAGACCTGAATGAGGGCTAACCGAAGGTCAAGCTATGTACAGAGTTTCTCTATACATTTTGCCCATCAGAGTTCTCATACTTTGTTTTTTTACAACTATGTAAAATAATGGGGATTCTTGGAATATTGGTTCAAATTATAACCATTCTGTAGAGTTAAAAAATAAATAAATAAATAAATAAAACAAAAGATTTAAAACAAGTGTATGTGAATCTCACAATAAAGTCTGTAAGTTAGCCCCCCACCCCCCAGTTTAGCCAATTTGACCTTTACATTTTACAGTCACCTTGAATTTTCACTGCAGTGAATAGCCCTGTAAGTGGGTTTATTGCCAGTTAAAGGTTATGAAGTATTTTAGTTCCTCCAACAGCTGGTGACTCCCTGCAGTCCTAGTTCCTCTCAGAGTTCATTGTTTACTTCTACATTTATAAAATGTGTATAACCAGTTGCATAATTTCCATGTAACAGGGATAACATGAAATGATCTGGTTTCTATCACAGGCAGTCAACAGGAACTTAAACTGCTCGATTGTTTAGAAACATGTTAAAGAAACGTATTTTTATTTTTTAGCATTCTGTTTCCTGTTTATTTTAAAACAGGGCCCCAAAAATTGGGGACGGGGCGATATGACTGTTTCAGGGTCAAGGCAATGTTTTCTCGGCAGGCCATTCTCCACGGCTCTCCAAAGCGGAAGGGAGGTCAGGGAGGGTGGCATGGATTGGGGCTGTGCTGCCATTGGCAGTCTGGCTTCAGCATTCTGTGTGTGTTGACGCCAAACACCAATTTTGCATTAATTTCAGTCAACTGTAAATCTTTTTCTGAGCTGGTTAATTGTGTCCCAAAGGCATTGCCGGAGATGAAGTTACACCTCTGGCAGTAGAGGGGTTAAACATTCCACTGCCCAAATACATTGTTAAAGCACTGTTTAGTAGATACACTCCCATTCAAAACATGCATGCATTCAATTTATGTTTTTTTCTTCATTGGGGCTATATCTAAAAACATATTTCTTATTTGCAGCCTTTGCAAGCCCTCCCCTTCTAACCCCACCCAGAAATGTTGTGGCTATCCAGTCACAGATTTCCCAATGCAGGATATGCTTTAATGATATATTAGGAGACCACCTCGGTCACTTTAGCCCCCCATCTGGCATTTGAAGAAAGGGAGAGGAACTGAATAAATAGCACATGCCACCCAGAAGTGTAACTCTCACTATTCTCAGGCAGACTGTATAGCTTGCCACGTCCTGTGATTAGTAGTCCAGTCCCACACAGGGTCAGTCACTTCAAGCATTACAGATTTTAATGTATAATGTCATAAAATCCATCATACAGTGATGGATTTAATAAAGTAACTGTGAGTGCTTCATAAAATAAGTATTTCATTGCACACTGCATACCTGACCTTTGGACTTTATCCTCCTCCTGTGCCCATTGACATTTGTTCTACAGGTAAATGGAAGCTCACACCCCCTCTTAATTTAATGTACTGTGTAAACCAGACACAGGCTGTAAAATCAGCACTGTACAGTCTAACCTGCAATGACTCCCGTCACCTCACTTTATCAATCAGCATAGCAGAATATAGAAAAAAAAAAACACTCATGCTTAATGGATTAACATGAATATTGAAACAACACACCGATCCACAGGTTATACACACACTTTGTTCTATTTTAAGGCCAATGATCAAGTAATAATGACGAAAAAAAAAAAACCCTCTCAAAAGGTAAAAGAATACTAAAACGATTTGCAGAACAGCTAGTAGAGATAGAGAATTTAATGGAATAAAGAGTTAGTGTGTGTTGGGGAGGAGGTTACACTGACTACTTTCAAAATAAGGGTTTGCAATGGCACAGAATGTGCTTTAAAAGAAGCAGAGAAAACAGATTTATTGAAAGGAACACTCCAAGAACTATGACATCCGCAACCCACTGGGGATACCCGTTGTGCTCTAGCGCCTTCACAGACACTTGAACAACCTACCTGGGGTATGCCAGGCAGCCATTGCCACCTCCTCTCCAGCACAGAGCCAAGCCCAGTGCATGGAGGAATTCATGGATGACCAACTACCAGGAATGGCGAAAAATTCTAATTTGGCTATTTTTGCAAAACAAAAAAAATATTTAAAGTACAATTTCTGAGACTTGATACTTTAGTGAATAGGCCTGCATGTAACAATATGTAATGCTTTTTTTCAAAGTAATGTGATGCGGGAAAAACAAAAACAAACAAAAATAAAGACAAAAGGAAAAAAAAAAAAAGTATTTTAACAATACTAAATATCCACATTGTTGCAGAAGGGACACAGGTGAGCAATATCCAGCCATTCTGCTCCAAGCTGTCATTTCTCCAGAACCCACAGCCCTCTCCCATCCTTCTAGAGATCGTATTAGTTACCTGGACATTATAACTTCACGTCTTCCAAAACTCACTGCCACTGGATGGATATATAAGAGGGGTAGGCAACCTACGGCACTAGTGCCATGCATGGCACTCAAGGCTGCTAGAGCCAAACAGGCTCTGGCCTATCAGGAGTCCCAGTAAAACTTCAGTTATTTGCTAGTCCGAAAAGGTGGTAAAGGACAATCATCAATTTATGCATTGCAGCACGTAGAGGAAGTGATCACAGATCACTTCCTCCCAGCACTTGTGCAGTGGTAGAGCAGCATGCAGTTGCAGCTCCTGTCTTTGACATGTACCTGGCCGGCCTGGTCCCCACTGGAACCCAGGGAAGTCACCCACACTGCTAGATATACACAGAAATGCAGAATAACCCTTCCAACCATACAAATAATACAGACAGCCCACACACAAACATACACACAATCCGAACAAATGCAACACCACTAACAATCCACATACATGCACACAACCCCACATGCAATACCCCAAACAGCCCCCACACACTACCAAACACACAATGTGACATATCCATCCACACACACAATTCCACAAGCAGCCCCCATACACAGCTTACATTCATATGTATCATACACAATACCATAAACTACTCCTGAACATACAATATAATAGCTCATATACGCAGGGCCGTCTTTAAAGCGGGGCAAACGGGGCAGCTGCACAGTGAGCCCCGCTGGCCTCATCTATTTCTCATCCCCTGCCGGTAATCCGCACACTAAGGAGGCCCACCGGCTGGCCCATGCACAAAGGGCCACCCGGTGGGCTTCTGTCAGCAGGGGTCTGGTCGCACGCTGAAGTGCCTATTAGCGCGAGTGGGCCCCTTGCTTTTCGGCAGCAGGCTGGGAGGAAGGGACGGCCGTGCATCACTTCCTCCCACAAAGAGAGGGGCGCGCGAAAAAAAAAAAAAAGAGTAGGCAGAGTGGAGGGGGGCTGGCCGAGAGAGCCAGACCCCAACTCCCAACACCTTCAGCAGGAAAGGTAGGAAACTGGAGGTGGGTTTTAAAGTGTAAATTTTGTGTGTGTTAGTATGCTTGTGTGTGGCATGCATGTCTGTGGCATGCATGTCTGTATGTGTCAGCGTTGGGGTGGAGGACGTGATTGCATGCCTGGGGAGGAGGGACAGGGTCCAGGGGGCCCCAAGCAAATGCTTTGCCCAGGGTCCAGTCAATACTAAAGATGGCCCTTCATATACGCACATATACAACGATACAAAGCAATTACAGTAAAAATAACACAAGCAGAATATGGCAGCATACACAATTAAAAAAAAAATAGGACCGAATGCTACGGGACATCACAATCCTATATCGGCACAGTGCTGCTAAAAGGTTGCCTACCCCTGATATAGAATATAATATATATATATAAAATCATATCCACTCACTCCACTGACACACTACTGGTCCATCTATATTGTTACAGAGGAGCTGTAGCTTGTATTGTCTTGAAAACTATAATACTAAGTTGGGCAGATGGATTGCTAAATGCAGTGCTCAATAAATCAGCACTAGGTAGCACTTTGCTTTTATTGCCAGAATGGTCATCATCCTTTGGCAAATAAAATAAACATTAAGCTGGTTAATAAAATCAATTATTTACTGATTTTATTTAGATTTTTGTAGACAGTAACATTTCATTTCTTTTAAAACAAACATTCTATTACATTCCTTGCTGTGAGCGTTGAAAACCTCTTATACAATGCAATAATTTGCTTCTTGCACCCATAGGATATGGACTAACATTGTACGCTGATATTAGACACACAGTGAAATACTGGAATGGTTTTAATTGCTATGCAATGGAAGATTTATCACTGTCTGTGCCGTAAATTATTCATTAATCATTACCATAATGTATGAATACTGCATGACAATATAACTCTCCAGAGACGGATACAGTTAATGAGTCAGGCACTCCTCCTTCACTTCCTCCAAATTACCTAAAAAAATAGGAGCTCCCTTTAATAATGAATTTTCACTACCCGTTTTCTGAGGATTTTTGCAGTTTTTTGAGATTGTTATGGAGGAAGCTCCTTGGACGTACTACAGAAAGACAGTATTTTAAAAAGTTATAGTAAAGTCTTATGAGAAGTAAACCATACGTAATCTGTAATATAAGCAACAACAAAGGGTTATGGTGTAAACAAATCCCCTGCCCCCCATCATATTAAATAGGAATTATCACTTTCCGGAACTTTAAATAATATGTATATTACTACCCATAGTTAACAGATCTGTGCATTTGAGAGATGTGAAAAAAAATAAAACATAGAATTCCACAACTCTTTATCCTGCATCTAGCCGCCTCCATCTTGGCTGTCATTTATAGGTTTTCACTATACAAGTTCAGCACAGGTATAATGGTTCCAGCTCCCCTCCTAGTGAACACTCTGTGCTGTAGCGGTGCCTGGACTGCAATGTGAAGTCATTTGCTAGCTCTTTAATCTGGATTTAAACAGAATGTATTTTTCTCCCAAAGGCGAAAAGAAAGATTCACACCAAATTAATCTTTAAAGGACCACTATAGTGCCAGGAAAACACTATAGCCTGCCACTATAGGGTCCTTGGGACCCCCCACCCGCCGGGCTCTAGCGTGATGAAGGGGTTAAATCTTACCTGTTTTTCCCCACCGGGCTCCCTCAGCGCGGGGAATTCTCCTCCTCCTTTTCGCCGTCATCGGCTGAATGCGCATTCAGCCAGTCCATAGGAAAGCATTCTCAATGCTTTCCTATGGACGCTGGCGTCTTCTCACTGTGATTTTCACAATGAAGCTCGGAAGCGCCTCTGGCAGCTGTCATTGAGACAGCCACTAGAGGCTGGATTAACCACTAGATGGACCTGGCACCCAGACCACTTCATTAAGCTGAAGTGGTCTGGGTGCCTATAGTGGTCCTTTAAACCCCGACCATGGAGATCTTGTTATGAATGCACAAATCTCAAGCTATTTGTTTTTAATGGGGAGACTAGGATTGACTGATAAACCTCAGCCCTTTCCTGGTTCCTGCAGAAGCTGCACATTGCTGCAAACAAAGAATATGAAGAGGGACAAATGCTCCTGCCAGTTATGGAGAGTATGCATATGAACAGGTCTCTGCCAATACTGACAAATGGATGGACACACAGTGATGATGTCAGTGCCTATATTTGTTTTTAAAGGACATTCCAAATGCAGAATTTAACCTTCTAAATTGCAAAGAGTGTGTCCTATTTTTTACAGAAAGTGCAGATTTCAATAGAAATTGGCACATATAAATTAACCTGGTTACACCTAACTGTATGTCAGACAACTGGTCTTATTACTTCCTGGTTTGTTTAGCTCAGTGTAACTAAACTCAAGAAGCAGCGACTGCCCAGAGCCTGCCTTGCAAAGACTTTTGCATTAAGCTGCATTGGGAAGTCTGTGATTGGACAGCTGAAGAAAGTCTGGGTGGGGTTAGAAGGGGAGGGCTTGCAAAGACTGCAGAAAGTAGAGCTGCAGCTTTTGCAAGCTGTTTTTAGATCTACCAGAGTTAAAAAAAATAAACAATCGAATGCATGCTTATTTTGAAAGGGGGTATATCTACTAAACAGTGATTTTTAAAAATGTTTATTCTGTAGGTGAGCAGTGGAGTGTCCCTTTAAGTCCAATCATCTGTCAGGTAGGGAGTGCAATAGAGCAGGCATCTGCAGGTTTCACAAAACTAAAACAGGATAACACTATTAAATGGACACTATAGTCACCTAAACAACTGTAGCTTAATGAAGCAGTTTTAGTGTTTAGGTGTCACTGCTCAATTAACTGCCATTTAGGAGTTAAATCACTTTGTTTCTGTTTATGCAGCCTTTGCCACACCTCCCCTGGCTCTGATTGACACAGCCTGCATGAAAACAAACTGGTTTCACTTTCAATCAGATGTAATTTACCTTAAACAATTGTATCTCTTTCTCTATAAATTGAACTTAAAATCACATACAGGAGGGCTCTTACAGGGTCTAGCAGGCTATTACCATAGCAGGGGATAAGAAAATCTAAATTTAACAGAACTTGCAGTAAAGGAAGGATAAACTTCAGATGACTTATTACAGGAAGTGTTTAGGAAGGCTGTGCAAGTCAGGGAGGTGTGACTAGGGTTCATAAATAAAGTGATTTAACTCCTAAATGGCAGAGAATTGAGCAGTGTGACTACAGGGACATGATCTATACACCAAAACCGCTTCATTAAGCTAAAGTTGTTATGGTGACTATAGTGTCCCTTTAATGAACCTGTTTGGATATTGTTAAAATAGGTGTTAAACCAGGGCTCGACAATTTACCAGGTTGCCGTGGTGACTAGAAATTTTGTCCTGGAGCCTAGGTGTTTGTCAGCCCATCAGCACTGGCCACCTCAAGGTCCACCCAAGGCCGGAGTCTGTGAGCAATGGAGATAGAAGTGGCAAGGCAGCTGTAATATTCCTGCTCTTCTTGCCCTGTTCCCTCGCGCGTCCCAATTAAACAATTAAAATTTGCAATAAAAGGTAGTATAAACATTAGATGACTCTTTACAGGAAGTGTTTAGGAAGGCTGAGCAAGTCACATGCAGTGAGGTGTGCCTAGGGCAACACTAACTTCTAAATGGCAGAGAATTGAGCAGTGAGATTGCAGGGGCATGATCTATACACCAAAACTGCTTCATTAAACTAGAGTTGTTTTTGGTGACTATAGTCTCCCTTTAACATGCAATCCAGTAATTGTGAGAAAACAACAAGGGGACTACAAATTGTAGGGCAAAATAGATGACCTGAAAAAATAGGAGCCTGTGATTTTCCAGCTTATTTTTTCCTAAACTTTGCAGATATTCCTCATTTCTTCCATACCACTTTACTTGGTTTAGTGATTATATTGTGAGAGCGCTTTCAAAGTGTACCTGCTCCTGAACCAGTTGACAAATGAGAGTCAGCTCACTTCCACCAATTTTTATCTTGGCCCCTACCAAAAACAATAATTGTGGGGGTACTGCGAGTTATAATTGTACTTGCTAGTTGGGATCCATAACGTAGGTTAGTGCGTAGCATTTAGAATTAAAGCAACATTAGTAAAAGTTTACTTACAATTAAAAGCGTCTGTCCTGGTACCATAACAACAATCTATAGATTGTTTACTCAGGGCTGTCCAACCTGCGGCCCCCCCAGATGTTGCTGAATTACAACTCCCACGATTCTTTCAATGAAACAGATAGCCAGGGAAGCATGGGAGTTGTAGTTCAGCAACATCTGGGGGGCTGCAGGTTGGACAACCCTGGTTTAGGTCTTTGTGGGAATAGGACCTTTGAG